TTTAAACAGTAATGAACGGATAGCTCGAGACTGCAAAAAAGTTAAAGAAACTAACGAAGGAACAGAAATGAACGAGGAAGAATTCAGGTATACTCAAGAGCGAACTCAGCTTCCGCTAGGGGAAAAAGTGACGTAGGGGAAGGGCCTCCTACCATGGTACCTCTTGGTATTGGGAATTACTGAAATTTATGTTGAATTAATGTTCGATTTAACATTTATTTCAATACTTGGAAAGGCCTTTCTCTCGCGCCACTTTTTCCCCTAGTGGAAGCCGAGTTTGCTCGCGGGTGTACATAGTTGCGGGAATGGTGTCAACTCGGTAGACCTCTAGTGGCGAACGTAGGGAGGTAGTGCCGCCACAGCAGATACAACATATAACCCAAGGAATATCGATTAAACGAAAACTAAGCGGTGTCCAGTTACCATGACGAGTTTCTTGTGTTTTCCAGTGTTTTCAGACGGCGTCTACGAACCGTGGATTCGAGGAAGATTTATTTTTGATATCAAACGACTGGTCGCGGTGAAGAGATCTTGGTGGGATGGAGCAGTGTGGTTTTCAATCCGCCCTCGTGGAGAAGAAACTTTCGACTGAGGCTAGGACTGACGTTTCCGAGAACGGTGGCTCCATACCGGAAACAGAAATTAGTGAAACGGTTAGAATGAAATTTTTAAATAGATCTCTCCGGGAATGTGTTAACAGAAATTGTGGTCAAATAGAAATTCACTGTCTACTGAATTTTCAATAATGTACAACTTCCGTTGATCTTTTTGCTATAGCTTACTATAGCGCCCAAGGATTCGTCGGTGGACATCGACATTCTGGTGACCTCGTCCTCGGAGGTTTTCTCGAGGATAAACCTCGAGGCGGAAAATGGCGAGTACGCGACCGATAATCGAGTGTCAACCGACAGCACAGCGGTGCCAGATGCGATACCGGAAATGGAGAACGACGACAGTTGCTGCCTGTCGTATTTCGACTGCGATTCGGCCTCCGACGTCACTTTCAAGAGTTCTAGTGGCGAACGATTCGTCGATGATGTTCGTGAAACGAACGACGATGATTCCATCGTCCCGACAATGTCTATAACGGAGATAATTCGCGATCAGAGTGAACCTAAGGATGCGACTCAGTACGCTATATGCGTAGAATATAATTTAGACAGCAAGTATCGTGACAATTGGTCAGATGATATTAGTGAAGATAATGCGGACAATCAATTGGAAGACCCACGAAATGAGCAAGAGATCGAAGAGTTGGATCGTCGTGACTCTTCCAGCGACACAGACGAAGACGTGACACAGTTGATATACTCTTCCCCCAATATAAACGTGTCTGATTACGTTGAATTTAGAGAGACCATTAAGGAATCGAGGTTCGAATCGAAGATTCTAAACGACAACACGTCGTCGTGCGAGATAACTGAGATTACGGAGTCGCAGGAAGTGTTAGAAAATGAAGTGTGTGTTCAGAACACGACAGAAGAAGTGGAAGAAAGTTCTCCTGTTGACGAAACGAGGCCAACTTCTGCAGAGAATTACTTAGAGAAGCTGGCGGAGATCACAGAATCGAGTTGTCCTAGAACGGAGGAAGAGGCGCAGCAGACGTTGAAGAAGATCGCGGAGGGAAAAGCGGAAATAGAGAACAGAAAGAACGAGGCTTTGAGGGATCTATCGATAGAGTTCAACGAAGTGGAGAAGCTTGTTGCGGAGCAGAGAGCTTTCGAGGAAAAGAGTCCGTCCATTGGCACGGCACCAGACGACAACAGTGAATCCGACGACAGTCTGAACGAAGGGAACACAGGCGAAGAGGTTCAAATGCCTTTGACGAAGGACGAAGTGACGGAAAGTTTTAAGATCAAGAACACCTCGAAGGACCTCGTTGAAGAGGAGCAACGTCGTACAGAACTGTTGCAAGAATGCTTGCAGGTGATCCCGCAAACGGAGGAGGTCGAAACTGTTCAGGAAAAAGAATTAATTGACAATGAAATTCCGATGAAGTCTGAAATAGATCTTGAAGAGGAGAAGAGCAACGTCGCTCGAATCTTTACAACGATATCGTCAGAGATAGCCCAAGAGGCTATATATTCTGAAAGTGCACGCGTTACTCCTGATTCGAGAGAAAATAAAGATTCGAAACTTGCAGAAACGGTGGTCAAGAGCATTGTCGAGGACATTATAGCCGACACCGAAGACTCCCTGTTCTGGCAGTTCCCCGTGGAACCAGAGAGAACGTACATCAAGGGAAAGGTGTACGATTTCGACGAGAAGAAGCACGGTACCAGGTACAGCGCGAAGCTCAATGGAATTCCGTGGAAAGCTTGCAACGCCTTCCTCGCGACTTTATGTTTGGTAAAATAAGCGATACCTGATTCCAGAATGACAAAGCAGTTTCTGAAGGAGCTCTGCAAGAAGAATAAGCTCTACCAGACCCCGCATCTGAACAACGTGCTGTATCTGCATTTCAAAGGTAAATTTCCAAACTAACTCTCGTATTTACATACTAAGTACACGACGACGTACCCAGGCCGGATTAAGATTTTTTGTGGCCCCCCCCCCCTTGATTGAAGACCCGGGGAAGGTGGGATTTTTTCTAATACAGCACAACAAAATATATAAATCCCAAGAAATTGAAGTTTAGTTTAAATAAAATTAAATAACATTTTTATCACAACGAAATGGACGGTTCAGATCTAGGGCCCAGGGCTACATCTCCCCAGATAGCATTAAGTACATTTATGTCAAGTACCGAAATAAATGTTAAACCGAATATTAATTTATCCTAAATTTCAGTAACTGCCAAAACTAAATGGTAGGAGGCCCGTCGCCTACCTCGATTTTTTCCCCTATGGAAGCCGAGTTTGCTCGTCGGTGTAACACTAAGCAAATGTTTCTATATTACAAACGTTTCGACCGAGTCACTTTTCAGGTTTCTCCTTCATCGAGAATCTCGAAGAGTACACCGGTCTTAAGTGTCTATGGCTACAGAACAACGGGATCCGCGAGATCGCCAATCTGGAGAATCAGAGCAACCTACGGTGCCTGCAGCTTCACAACAACGTGATCAACCGAATCGAGAACCTCGAACGTCTTACCATGCTCGACACTCTGAACCTCTCGCACAACGTTATACGGAGGATCGAGAATCTCGGTGATACACGCAGACGCGTGTACGATCCCCCCACCCCTCGTTGTGGTAACCTTGACCTTGACGTGTGGTCCCTTTGCTTTCAGACTGCCTGAAGTCCCTGAGCTCACTGAACCTGGCGTACAACTACCTGCAAGAAACCGCGGACATCGAGCATCTCCGTTTGCTAAACAGTGTCTCGGTGCTGGATATTTCTCACAACAGGATAAACACCGTAGACGTCGTTAACGTGAGTCCGTTATGTCCCCTTGATCGCTCGAGTAAGCTAGCGGGCGCGCGCGCGCGCGCGCAGGCCACTAGCGTCGCTTCGACGGGCTGTTAGTCCCCCCGGTGCGTGTTCCGTGTGTGATGTAACTCGCAGTTTTACGAAAGGGGACACTTGTGTTTCCGTGACGAGAAGTGTCCCGATCTTGGCACGATGCAACTTTGTGAGAATATACACACGAATCGGATCACGTAGATGAAAGATGTATCGTTGGTTAGGGGGATTGTCGATTTGGAATAAAATTAGCTAGAGATAGTGAAATATCGATGTTTCGTTGCAGATACTGGCATCGATGGAAAATTTGCGCGTGGTCCACTTTATAGGCAATCCGGCGCTGAAGACAATTACGCTGTACCGAAAGACGATGATCATGAACTGCAAGAATCTTACTTATCTCGATGACAGACCGGTGTCCCCGAGGGAGCGTGCATGCACGATCGCTTGGTAGGTGTATCGGTCTTCGATCGTGCCTTCGAATCAGAACGATTTGGATGTTTAGAGTACACTCTTGGTACGGCATTTGACAATTAAAAGCTAACAAAACCGTCACCAAGGCAGGATGAATGGAGGTGTCAATGCAGAAGAGGCCGAGAGGATACGTTGGATCAAAGCGAAACAGAAGAAGCTTAACGACAGCGTGCAAGGTATCATATGTATTATAAAAATCGAAAGTCCCGCGCGCGATCTTCTGCCTCTCTGGGTACCCTTGAATCAGACACGCATCGCGAGCAGCTCTAGAGAACGCTAGACAACGCAAGATCGATTTTAATTGATTCGTGTGTTTATCCGTGGACCTCCGATCCGCCCTCGAAAGCCCTGATAAACAAAAGGAACCTGTACAAACCGGTCGGGACGTCCGAAAAGGAGGCGGAGGATAAGAAGAAGACGAAGGAGGACGACGAAGAAGTAGCCACGACGCTTGTGTGCACGAGCAACGAACTGGTAAGAACTAGTTTTGTCAAGGTCTGGTACAGAATTCGTGCTTCGAATAATATCACCACCGATCGGGGGCCCCCATCTACTATTTGATCATTCACCACGGCGAAACCCCCTTCATGCGCCTTGGTGAACCTTCAAGCTCCACCTGGAGAAGAAGAAAAAGTCGGTCGTCTCATCCTCCTCCGGCTCCTCAGCGTCCTCGTCATCGGACGAAGAGGTGGAGAACGACGGAACGGGGAAAAAAGGAGCCGAGAAAAGTGACGGAAGGAGGCCAATGGCGGAGGAAGAAAGGAAAGCCACGGGCGCGACCGCTGGGGAGCTTTTGTTGCCCTGGAGAACGGAAGTAAAGATTTTTCTGTTTCACCAATGGTTTCAGCCACCTTGCTAACCCTCTACTACGATACGATCAATCCTAAAACTTTGCTCGATCGTAGCGTAAAAATTATTATAACGATTTATCGATAATCAAAGTAACTACCTGTTCTATACCTTTTACTTCAAATTTTCTATAAACCTCGAATTGCATTCGGTTCACTAAAAGTTTACTTTTCTGCGTTCGTAGACGACCAAGAGTCAGAGGTCTCCGAAATTAGTGGAAGAAATAACAGAAACAAAAAAGGAATACGTGGCAGATGACGCGGAATTGACGGAGGATCCACCGTGTAGTCATGTTCTGGAAACAAGACTGTCCCATCTCGATAGAATTGTCCCGCAGACGACCAACGAGACCGAAATGGCTCCGGAATCATGCACGAGCGAGCCGAAGATCGACGATAGTAAATTACACACCAATTTCGAATACGATCAATGGCCCCGTTGGCAATTCGTACGAGGCTCGTATACTATTCTTTGTTAGCGAACTTTTCAGTTATTTTTCGTTCTGTTCGATTTTCAGCCGATGAAAAAAGGATATCGTTCGCGAACACCGGGGTTTCCTGCGACATTTCCAATCGCGAGGACAATAAAACGACGAACACCAAAGTCACGGATATGGCGGAGGAAGAAAGCCCCTACAAAGACGTTTCGTACGATTACCGAAGAAAGGACGACCGACACCATTTGAGCACGCAGTTGAGCAGCATACGGGAGGGCATGAAAGAGTTCTGCGCCGACATGGACAAGTTCGTCGAGGACAATAAAATCGTGTACGAGAACGGCGATGTCAAACGATTCTGGGGTGTGGGAAACGTGAATTCGCCGTTGGTACACGAGGGCAAACCGGACGGAAAGCAATCGTCCGCGCCGAACGAAGGAAACGGTGACTTCAAGTGGTGGAGCACGACGGAAAGAAAGCTGAAAGTTACGGAGTGCATGAGAAAAAGAGAAGAGGAAGCGGGTCGGCAGGCGGGGAAGAAAATAGAGGTACAAGGAGTCGAAATCATCGAGGATGCTCCAGAAAGAAATCCAAACGATGACTGTACAGGAGAAACTAGAGAAAAGAAGGAAGGTGTCTACGATCTGTTGAATCTGAAGACCTGTTCCGAAATTCTTCTAGAAGATGTAAAGACATACCCTGAACATACAGACGACCACACGTTTTCTAAATCGAGCATGACCGAAAACAAAGGAGACACTTCCTCGGGGGTGTTTCATTCTCTGCTTAACGAATTGGATCATAGAAATCGGCGGAACTCTAAACAAAGCTTGAAATCACACAGTTCTCATAAACTGTTAGCGATAGAGGAGACGGAGGAAACTGTCGAGGAGACAGTGCGAGAACCTAATCAGTTGAACAAGTGCGGTTCCACGTTATCGAACACCTCGAAATCGGGAACCAATCAAGGGATACTTAAAATGGAACCGGTTCGAGTCGAAATTGCAGAAGCTGGTCCCAATGACGTCGGATCTTCCAATTCATCTGAAGACGATGAATCGGACAAGGAATCGGTGATAACTGTGATCGATCTCTACGACAGGCACCGTCTTAAATCGAGAAGTGCGAATACATCGGCGACCTTTTCACTGGAAAGTAAACCCCAAGGTTCTTCCGAGCTGTCCGAAAGTGTCGCAGTCCAGAATCACGACAACGAGAACTCAGGTTCTGATACGCAAGCTTTGGTCGCACCTTTAACTTCGTTGCACGACGAAAAGTCGAGTCAAACCGCGAAAACACGTAAAAGAATGCACGACTCCGAGAATCTGGAAATGGCCAGCAAGAAATCGCATTTGATCGAGGAAGTAGATGTAGAGTCTGAGAGAGTCTCGGTGAATCGAAGGAGTGGCAGCGAAGTGTCTGAACGGTGCAGAGATCATGTAACGAAAGAAGCAAAGAAATTCATGCAGAAAGAATCGCCTTTAATCGAGAGATGCATAGAGAGTTTGATAACGAACAGACTGGAAGGAAGTTGGAAATTCGGGGACCAAGATCGCCAAGACTTTTTCGGCTGTACGGCTATGAGTTTCACGTCATCTTCTGTCCTTAACACTTCCGAACGGTTCCCTAAAATCGAGTCTACAGAAACGCAATCTCGTGAGACAGCATCCGTTTCCAATGACGCTGGTAAATACAGGAACCTCGCGATTATTGACTGATTGTTGATCTACGATTATTGTCCATGCGTCATCCCCACCACTGGGGAGGAGGCTGTGGAACCCCGCAAGCGCACACTTTGTTGCGTCTAGTCCACAATTATTCTCCCGACGCAGACAATAATCGCAAGGCCCCTGTATAATTTAAAAATATTCGAAAATGATCTTGCATGATATTTCTTTGTATCATGCAATCTTCTACATTATCTGTACTGACAATCATTTTGTTCACAGATATTCTGCGTGACCTAATAGAGGAAACCGAAGCCATTGGAATGAGCGACAAGTTGCAGGGGAAACACAACCTGGATCTCTATAAGGATTTCTACAAGCACTGTGAGCGACTGACTAGAAAAAGCAAGGTGCCGATCAAGCCCGATTTTATGAAGAACAACCGAATAGATCCTACGGAAAAGAAACGCGACGGTCTATCGTCAAGGGAGACCAAACAGTCGAAGAAGAAACAAACAAGCAAACTGATCGAGGTAATCTCGGAGAATCTGGACGCGATCCCAGAACCTGAAGAACCACCTGCCGACCCTGACGAACCAGCAATGGATCCAGCGTTAAGAGACCGAATATTGAGGAGCATAAACGCGCCGAAAAGCGAGGAGCAGAAAGAAAGGGGGAAAAGATCGGCGGAGAAATTGATGAGAACATCCAGAGAAGCAATGGCGATGGGAAAATCGCTTTTACAGGAACCCTCGATTATGTGCAATCAGCAACGAGTTAGTAATGTCGAATTTTTATATCGTGTCGCTGTTTCTTTTTTATCTGATATCGTGTGTGTCATCATATTTTAGTTTCAATGAAAAAGCTCGTTAGATATTGATTCTATGCTTACCAGATTCTCGTGTCCTCGGTGAGATTCTCTCGATATATTTTTTTGTTGTTCCCAGCAACCGGACGACAGCAGGAAATTCTTCATGAATCTGCTGAAGGAGGACGTTGAGCAGGAAGCGAGGGGCGTCGATTCTGTCGATGAGAGGAACAACGGGTTGGACGTAAAAACTGAAAAAGTACAGATAGAAACATCGCAGGATGAGATTGCAAAGTTAGAAAAAACAACGGAGGTACCATATTCCCCTGCTGATGGGATGGGTAAACGGGAAAACGGTGTTTCGGACGCGAAGGAAGAGCACAGAGGGAGAATAAAAAAAAGTTTAGAGATGCAGGTCATTCAAGAGAACTGAGATTCCTGTCAGAGGTCTGAAAATTCTGTAAAGTTTCAGTGATACATTAATTCATACGGATAAATGCCGTAGATTCTGCAAGTTAAACTGTGATCGATCTGTATTTCCTGTTCTTGTATTGAATGCATCGAGCTCTGTATTTCCTGTTCTTGTATTGAAATAAAGACCTGTTGCATTTCAATTTCTCTTGCCCATCGAACGAAACGAACTACTAAAAAGAAAACATAAACGCTTCTGTCGACGGGCAAAAACTGTTTACCCCCTCAAAATATCGATGGTGTGTTGAAAAATTTTATTCGCTGAGAAGAGTCCACTTGGACAAAATCGAAAGAAAAACAGGTACGCCCGGTCCGATGTGCCTAAAGTGGAGACGGTGCTTCTACTACGTACACTTTATTTTTGTTCTTTTCTGTCCACACTCACATCAATTATATAATAATAATAACGATGATGGCGGTGATCCGGTGAACTGTAATTAATAGTAAGAACAATTAATCCGTAATTATGCGTAATGACGTATCGGTTGGCTTGCGAACGAAACAAATATATATTTAGTCACACCGATGTTTCTCTTGCGTTTCCCGTCGTTCTCGGGGAGGTCCGGCCGAGATTCATCACGAAAAATACCTGTCCCCTGTACGAAAGCTTGGCGAAAAGCTCGTAACGACACTTTACACGTTTATAATAGGATGATATTCGTAACGAAATATCTCACCCGCTGGCCGTGTCGCGCGATCGAACCGTTTCGTCTATTTAGTCTCGATAGATTTCCTCTCCTGTCAGGCGTCGTCCATTTTGTTTCTGTTCGACCATTTCTCTTTACGTTCGTTTCACTCGTTTACACTCGCGACACACACACACACACACGCAATACACGATTATATATCATTCTTTTCAGGTGCTCTTAACGAGTATACCTCACTGCTATCTGGCTAACCGCAGTAAGTAAAGAAACCGTACAGATTACATTATGCTCCACTGTCACGATATAATTATTACAATAATAGATTTATAAATGTCCACGCTCTCATTTCTTTCACAACACCCAGACCAGGCAAAAATTTCAACACGTCCACACACGCACGTCAGTCGTAGAATTCTTCTCTCGTACAGCGTTTCGTGCTTTCACACACACACACACACACACACACACAGACAGACGTATTCATGGTTGCTCCCTAATTGTAAGTTATCTTCCTGGACCTATACCGGTTGTCGAGGAAGTCGCGATCGACGGACTGCGATCAGAAGGTGCACAGAGAGTGTACGGTACACCGTGGTGTCGTCGATTCGAACGGGGAGGCAATTATCAGTTGGAACCTCGAAGGGATCGTCGAACAAAGGCTTCCCCCATCCACGTCGCGTACATATGTCCCTTTGGGTTTACCCTCGCTTATTATCGTATTTGTTTATACATATATATGGTCCGTCCAACAAGACGAGTCAGTAAAAATAACCCGAAGCATTCGCCTGCTAAAAGCCCAGGTATCGACTGGCAATTGTCTCGGTCCCAGTTCCACTCAAAATGGTCATTGTATTCTCCCTTTGTTCAAGGTTACCGACTCGACCGGTTGAATGAGGTATAGTGTCGATCGCTGTTTCGTCCACCGCGTATTAATTAGTTATGCGATCCATCAGACAGCCCTTATAACGCGTTACGTTACAGAAAGAGTGCCTTAACGCCTATGCTTTCTTTTTTCTTACTATTAAAGAGTTTCATCGACTCGCTGGAAAAAAATCATTCTCAGAGATCTTCCTCCCAAGATCCCAGGAGAGTTTTTCCATTTCCTCCCGCTGATCCTGTGGAGTAACACGCGGCGATTTTTTCAGCCCCACCCCCGGAAGTGGTTACAAGAACGAAAAAGAAAAACGTAGACGCGAAAAATTGTCCCGCGAATTTGCAATCATGGGAAAATCTGAGAGTCGAAAACGGAACAGTAGAAAAACCTTGTCGTTGGGGGAAATTCATGCGGTTCATTTCGAACAGGCCGCGGGTTCGAGCGCTTGTCAGTCTTCTTTATTTCTAGTCCGAGAAAAATAACGTCGATCCCCGTTGATTCTTCGCGTACTCTTGTTCCCTGATTTTTTTTTTTTTTTTCTTAGACGAGCTATCATCGGCCGCGTCGGTCCGCCTTTATTGTGATAAAACAAGCGGCTCGTGCACTTCTCGTACGGTTAAGTGCAGCGAGAACCTTTCACGGTCCATGTGAAAGTTTGCTCGTCTTTGTACTACGATTGTTACTTTTTTTTTTTAATTCTTTGGTTTTAAGGAGGATTGTCATCGTGCGTTGGTGTCTTTCGCGTCGCCGCGTGCGCAAGATTCAACGAAATATTCCGAGAAAAAGAAAGAAAAATGGTAAATGCATCCGAGGGATATGTTACGATGTACATTCGCGATGATGAAAACGGTGACAAGAATATAGATTTCAATGCAAATGAAATGATGAACCGCAGAAATAAAAGTATAAAAAGTTTACAAGTTAGAACGTTACTTCAAGTTCTGAAACCGTTGATTACCAACGTTAACCCCTTGCTTTATGATTTTCTTGATGTCTACAGAATTACTTTATCATCAATAATTCCCCAGAAATGAAAGGAATTCGTGTACTTATCGCAATTTACTCTAAAAGTTAAATATTAATATCAGCGAACTAGTCTTTCGCTTTGACTCAAAGATAACGACTAATATTTCTGTTTGTTGAATCCATTTTGATATCGTCACCACGAGTCTGACTCGATTTTATAAAGCAAGGGGTTAAATCATACTTGGCATTACAGAATGTTGCGACTTTATGTGACGATGATTTCACAAAATCATCGGCATGATTGCAAATTCGATCGAGTAAAGCGAGGAAAGTAAAGTTACGCCGTGTTACGTGTACGATCCGCGACGCGCTTGACAATTACTCTAAATTCTTCGAACGAATATTCTTTCTCGTCGTATCTTACAATCGTTCAAACGTCGATGGCAGTTAAAACAAGGTAAATAAGAATTAATAAAATATGTCGCTCTCGTTACGCGAAGCAACCAAACTGCTGAAGTTCGCGCAGAACTCCTCGTAATTCGTGACGTTCACGAGCACTTCGTTCGTAATTCAATCACGAGCGATAATCGAGCTCCGAGATCTTGGATGAAATCATCTTATATAAAGGTCCCCTAACTCGATTAATTACTTAAGTTGTGTAGCACGAATGCCTCCTGACACGGTCGATTCTCGAAGAATTATTCCTTTCCTCGTTTAGCTCTCGTCTTGTTACACTCGAAATATTTTTCAGTCCTTGGTGTACTTTCCCTCGACGCATCCTATGAACGTGGATCAGAGGGACATTCACTAGGCTGGTAACACGTCGTTGGGGCAAAAGTATCAATGTCTTCTTTCGTGTACGTGAGGAAACTTTGCTCTCTTCTTCGTGGAGAACACGGGTGCTAAATTTTCGACGTGTTCACGAGGATGATAAAAACGCGAGGAATCGCCGACTTTCGTGTCCTGTCTAAAGCAACGTCCACGATGGATGATACTCGAATGAGCTAGTCTAACCGTCGATCATAATTTATCATAATTATTGTTGTTATTATCATTATATGTATATACGTATATATATACATATATATATATATATATATATATATATATATATATATATATATATATACTTTTATATATAAAAAAGTGATGAGATTTTTGTAACTATCTATCGTTTAACAGTGAAGACGTATTTTCTTTGTTGTCTTTATGTAAAGAAACCTCGATCCTCCACATTCTTCATCTTTCCCATTTTCATCGGTCTCCGTTCACGTTCAGCCACGTCCTGGAGTTTCTTTCGACAGCGCTGTAGCTTCTTTTTCTATATGTATGTAATATATGTATATAATACACGTACTGTATGCATATTGAGTATATCGTACTATGTGTTCGTTCGTGACTTGAAAGAGGCAGTATTCCTCGATGGCTTCTCCATCGTAAAAGGAAGTCACCAAAAACTGACATCCGTATCGGCACGTCTTTCCTTTTCCTTCCTTCATTCTGTTTCTGTGCACGCTATCGCGCCGATCGATTTTTCCGCGCTGAAATAGGACCCAAGAGAACCCGTCTCTGTCTAAATATCAGCGATCGAACGGTGAACTCACAAAAAAAAAAAAAGAAACGAAAAGGGCCTATTGTGATTCGCAAATGTCGTTTGAAAGAAAAAAAACGTCGGAGGTGTGTATATGTGTGACGAGAACTGAGCGAGCTGGCGGTTTTAAAAAAATAACTGAAACGCCACGTTTCATTTTTTTTCCAAGTACTTTTATTCACCTTATACTCGTACGATTTCCAAAAAAAGGCTGATTCCTTCTCTTACTTTCTCGCCGTTTATCTGTCGGCCGCTGATGCGTCACACTCGATTCGATAATAAACGTGTTCCCATGCACTCGATAAATCAAACGTATCCTTTTTTTTTATTTTTTTTTTTTTTTTAAAGAACAGTTCCTCGTATCCGTGTCCGTGGATAAGAAAAACATTTTCGAAAGAGAACGAAAAAATAAAAAGAACGACAAAGTGTTCTGGCTCGCAAACTTTTGTGCCTTCTTCCGTCTTTCTTTTAGTTGCATTCTCTTGCGCGTACCGTTACTATGACTAGAGACTTAATAAATCGGTAATTTTGCATGCTATTCGTCGACAGTATATATATATATATATATTTTTTTTTATGTTGTATTCGTACAAAGAATAAGAAACCATATTGCTTCTGTGGCTCGAGGCTTCGAAATACAAAAATGAGAAGCCTCCACCGAAGAGGCCACGGAATCGCGAAATACAAAAAGCACAGATCTTCTGTTTCCATTTAGTTTGTTTGTTTATTTTTTTTCGTAATTTTCTCGTCCAGTATCCTTCTTCCTTCGTCTCGGTGGATCTAATGTGCACGCCGCGTTCTATATTGTCCCTGTCTCGTGATCCCGTTCGAAATCGCGACGATGAAGTTTCGTCGCGTCGAAACCGAAGGAAGAAGGTTCTCTCTCCATATCGCCACGATGGCGCGGAGAAATGATCGTTTTCGTTTTTTTTTTTTTGTTGCTTCTGTGTCTCTTTCGTTTGCCTAATTGGTCGCTAGAAGATATGGAGGCGTGTGACATAAGCGAGATTAGTCGAAAAGAGTTATATCAAAAAACCGATTATAAATGTTACCGTTTCAAGAAAGTGTAGGTTTGTTTTCTCGTCCACTCGTAAACGCGATGTAGAATAATACGTCTTTAGTAAACTCCTCTCAGAGATTTCTCGGTTTTCTCCCCCCATTTTTTTTTTCTTCAACCGTTATTAGTCAGATTACACACGCTTGTCCCGTTAGGAAAACAATTGTTGCTATTCGCGTTCCGGAAGCCACGCTTCGCTTTCACCGTGATATTCCATCATTCTATACCCCGCCGATGATACCGACAGAAATGATCGACAGGTCAGTTAGCACAAACAATTGTACTCAAAGGAAAACGAAAACGTACACGAAGTTCCGTTTGTCGCTACCGAACGGGAATACAATATAAAATATACGAGAGAAAACGAACAACGCTTGACCGAGAGTCGAGGAAACGAATTAAAAAGAAATAAAAAAAAAAAAACAACAAAAGACAGTATGGCAGCGTGGTCGCCGGAAAGCGATTGGACCGTAATCCTACGGTACTGAACAAGTGGATCCATCGTTATCTCCTTAGATACTTATATATTAAATATTAATAATTATAAATTACAATCATCGTTAATATTAATATTAAACATTATCATTCTCCTTAGATATTTATATATTAAATATTAATAATTATAAATTACAATCATCGTTAATATTAATATTAAACATTATCATTAATATTATTACTTTAAATGCATACACAGTTTAAACACCTATTTTTTTTCCGACAAAAAGAGTACAGAATAGGGTAAGGAGAGAAAGAGATGAATGGAGGAGCGACGGAGGGAATAGACATGAATGGAAAGAGTCGTGGGTGGGGTAAGTAGAATTGAGAAACACACGATAGGCAAAAAAAACGGGCAAAGAAACGAAATTTGTTTTTTCAGGGATGATAGTAGAGAGTGAAAAAGGACAGGGACATTGAAGAGAGAAAAGAAGAGACGAAAGAACGACGAGGGTGTGAAAGAGAGAGAGAGAGAGAGAGAGAGAGAGAGAGAGAGAGAGAGAGAGAGAAGGTTTGGTCTCGCGGTCCGTAGCTTCGATCCGTAATTCTTTGGGTCCTATTTCAATGGAACTTCTAGGACGATTTTTCGCGTCGAGAACACGTGCCTTCCTCGTACGTTCGAGGGCTGCTCGGTGCTGGACCGATACTAGAGAAAGATTGTGGGACTCTGCTCTGGCGAGAGTTAGGAGGAACTCTTCTCGGTCTCGCTGCCTTCTATCTAGAGGAATAGGGAATAGAGGCTACAAACTAAACGATTACACGTTACATTAAATATTCCCCTCTCTTCGTATTTTTATGCTGGTCCCCTCGCGTGCGTGCGTGCATAGACCCGCGGCGAGGCGAAAATACATAGAATTCAGGATACTCTCATCCGTGTGAACTCGTCTTTTTATCGTTACTTTGTCCGTCTGCGTTCAACGATGTGTCCATTTCACGTGCAACGGATCCGAATAAATTTCGTACGAAAGATGCGTAACAATTGGCTTGAAGGAACAACTTAGGAGTATCATGATTCTTTTGCCGTGTTTCACTGTGTTTTTCTTTTTCTCTTTCTTTCTCTCGTGTGGATTCTCATTTTGATTGACATGTATGAGCCACGCGCGCGCGGCTTCGAGACCTTTCGCTCAACCTTGCACATCCGAAATTCGTTCATCTTCTTAACAATCTCTTGTAACACGAACATTCACTCAGCATGTCGAAAAACAGAACAGATACATATATAAAAAAAAAAAAGAAACAAAAGAACAAGAAAGTTTAGGATGGTCTATATAGCAGAGGTCTATACAAAATAAATAATGATACATCTATAAAAAATTAATCAAAGATATTAATGCAAACTCGGCGGATACAGTCACAAGAAACGACTTCAATCTTCGCCGATCCTTTTTTCCCCCCCCCGTGTCGTTCGTTCGCACCCCCGGAATAGGGCCGGCAAGATGGCTCGCGAAGAAACATGACAAATCGAAAGATCGAAAAGAAAAGAACGGGAAAACAAGAATTAGACGAATAAGAAATAAGGTAAAACATGATCGGAGATAGTGTGACTTTAATACGTCCATGGGTTCGTGGATCGCCTGTTACGTAATTAATGGCGGATACCTTTTGTTTACGGTACTTCGCGTTTGTGTGCAAATGTATGTAGTTTTTCTATGTACGTATTTAATACACGTGCGTACGGTGTGCGTGTAGGTTGAATGCAATATGCGAGATTATCGTAACTTTGGCCGCCCGTCAACATACGTATATATATATATATATACACACACACATATATATATATATATACACATAGTTTTCATGATCGTGTATTTGCTTTTGTGCCATGCACGAGCGGCCGTGTTTTTCGTTCTTTCATTGTATCTCGCCTGGTACGACTTGCTTCGTGCGTGTCGAGAAGAACATAAAATCAATCGCCGGAGCAGCCGTGTCGGCGCTTCATCGGCAGTGAACGCTCGGAATCTTTATTTTTTTTTATATATATTTGTTCGTAATAGAAACGCTTCTTTCTTCCGTGGAACGAGCCACCGGCCGTACGATGATCGTCTACGTTTTCTGGTCTGTAACCTTCGTAAGCTGGGATAATCATCGAGGAGAGGCTATCGAAGGTGTGTACGTGTACGTGTGTGTGTTTGGTGTGTGTGTAACAGCACGTGCTCTTCGTAGGTTCGCCAACAGTGATCGTTGAGAAAGGGTATTAGAGAAAAGAAGTGTGCACACGACACCCGGAGAGATTTGGCTCTGTCTACGCCTTGGTGCTCCTCTCCGTTTCGCCGTTCTTCCTTTCACCGCGCGCTTTTTTTTCCTCGATCATCCATTGATAATATACGTTCGATCGTCGGGCGAACGATGTGTGTATTCGTACTAGAAGCGCTGATATTCACGAGTCATTTTATCGCCGACCTTGCCACGTCGCCAGGTCAAGTCGACGACGCGTCTCCGGTAGTCTTTTTTACCACCACAACCCAAAACGTTCTTAAATTCGCTGCTGCTGCCGCCGCCGCCGCTGCTGTTGCTGCCGCCGTCGTGGCCTTTCTTACTACTGTTCTTGGTCTTGCTGTTGTTCGTGTCTATCGGTTGTCCAAACTTTCTGATCAAAGTCAACTCTGGTGAACCAGGCGAGTAGTTCGCCTCCATCGAGGATACGGACACGCCGACTTCGGTGGTCAAGTGGTGGTACTTAATGCTTATACTGTATGCTGATTGGCTGCAGTTGGTTCTTTGGAGGAACGTCTTGGGATTAACCCCAAGTTAGTTCCAAATACGTAGGAACGAGTCCCAGGAGCCCGTCGCTACCGCCATACCATCCTCCGTGACGCCCAGACAAGATACACGATTATCGTGGCCGGCAAGGATTCCTACGAAACAAAAATAAGACACTTCGGAGAAACCCGTGGTTTCATCTCCTCGAACACGTTTATCACTAGAAAGTACACAGTATTTGTGAATCAGAATAATAATTTCGACAAAAGAGTCAAATATACGAAACAAGAGGTGAATGTGACGATAAGGTTCTTCTGCCTTAGGAAGAGAAATATATTAACTATGGAAGACTCTTGTTAATCCAATTAGCGAGTCAATTTGAGTACTGACATGTGTCTTGGTCACTGAGCTCTCTAAGTTGAGCTAGTTATTAAAAACACAGTAGAAACTGGAAGTCCTGTTTAAATATTACAAGAAAACAAAAGTAAAATATGCTGTATGAGTGGAAAGTACGTAAAGAGTGAACCAAGAGAGAAGGGCTTGAAATAAAATTTCTCGTCTCTCGTAGGATTATTGCTGTCAACAGAAATAAGAACGTACCAGCTCGTTCAACCTTCATGGAGTCCCAGACGTTGCAGTTGAAGTCGTCGTAGCCGGCCAGCAATAATCTACCGCTCTTGCTGAACGCTACGCTCGTGATACCGCAGATAATATTGTCGTGGCTATACATCGCCAGTTGCTGATCCGCCCTGATGTCGAACAGTCTGCAAGTCGCGTCGTCCGAACCCGTCGCGAAAGCGTATCCATTAGGGAAGAACTGTGTACGATAAAATGAAATTTTGTTCATGACTCAGCGTGTCGATTTAACTTTCTCCGGGTAATCTAAAATAACGAAGGGACAAGAGCTCAGACATTGAAAAAAGACAAGCCCTTACCGTGACAGCGTTGATGTCACTCTCGTGACCCGGGAAGGTCTGCTTGCAAGATCCCTCACGAATGTCCCAGAGCTTTGCACTGGCGTCACACGCACCGGAAACGAATGTGCGGGTGTCTGGTGCCAAGGAGAGGGACATTACGTCGCCCGTGTGTCCAATAAAGGAGGTACACTGTTGACCAGTTTCTATGTCCCACAGGGCACTGGTTAAGAAAAATAAAAAAAGTGTCCATTGCTAAGGGTCTAAAAACACTCCTGCGGATGATATAATTACCAATTGGGAAATGGGATGCCGTGTGAACAGTGGGAAAAGATGGATCATTGTGCGATTTTTATTGTACAATCATTTTTAGTCTTCGCTACTGCGTTTACAATGCATCATCGTCCGAAGTGAAACTAGATTACTCTCACTGCTTTAATTCGAATTCGAAAGTAACTGACGGTAGCTGTTAATAGGAATCCGGAGCAACGTGGTGGATCATCGAGGCGATAAAATAAACGTTCCCTTACCAAGTCATGTCCCCAGAACTAGTGACAATTTGGTTGTCGTCATAGAATCGACAGCAAGACAAGTACCCAGTGTGACCAGGTAGTTCTCTGCTGACTCTTACGTTTCCTTCCCTAGTTTTAAGACTATAGATGGAGCAAATGTTGTCCAGCCCACCGCATGCCACGTAACTACCAGACGGTGCATACGCACAGGTCATCACCCACGAGGACCGCAGGGGGATCGCGTGAACTTTGTTGGTGGTGTAACTATCCCAGACAATTAGTTTTCCATCTTGCGACGCCGACACTAAGTTTCTGGCGAGCAAAGGAAACAAGGATTACGCTTCGAATGTTTCGCTAGAAAATTTCATTACAATCACAGGATCAAGTATAATACCGTACCTTGAATCACTACCCCAATGCATCGCGTAAATCTTGGCTAAGTGACCGCGAAGCGTGCGTCTCGTGCGCATCTGTATCCGACCAATTGGCTCCATGCCGGACGTGGCCTGAACCAACGTCGTGTCGCATGCTGCTTTCCTAGCATCCTGAACACCAAAAAAAAAAAAAAAACGAAACAATTAATCGAAACATCGTGACGAAACAGACTCTATTTCTTTTTTTCTTTTACTCTCTCAGCTCAAACGGTTCATTACAGACTAAACGTCAACCATTTCCAAGGTACACGTCAATCGACCGCGGGAAGGCTAATGAGCCTCGCGAAAAAAAAAAACTTTCGTTCCGACCTCACGGTGCGCGTGTACGAACCTCATCGACGAAAAGGTCAAATGTCGCGCTCGAATAGCGACACACAATTTCGTGGATGCGGAAACCCGAAGAATCCCATAAATTACAGCGAAACTCCTGGAAGAAACAAAAGAAAAAGCAAAGAGATTCACGATCCGAAAGAACCGGCCGGACAAATCGCGCAGAGTCGACGACTCTTTCCATTGACCTTTCGGGAAGCATGTAACTGAGAATGCAACAGCGTGCTCATACTCGAAGAATGCACTTATGATACACGGCTGGAGGAGTCCTAATTAACGGCGCGTTCCTTCCAGATAGGTACGAGGAGAATACGAATCTGTTTCCATGGAAAATACGAACGAACATGCTTAAATGAGTTCCAGCACGATTTCGAAATCGAAGGAAGAAAACAGGAATACGGGCAGAAAATCGAGTCGTTGAAATATCGTCGATGTACGTTAAAAACGTTCGTTCTATTTATCGCAAGCCCGCGCGGGTATTACCGTGCACACACATACACGGTCGACCGATGCGTGTAATTTTACGCACGCTGGACGAAGGGAGAAAAAGAGAAACACGAGGATAGAGAAGAAACACGACGGGAAGCAGGGGCAAAAGAGAGAGAGAGAGAGACAGAGGGAAAGACGGAGCGGGACGGTGGCGTATTGATCAGAGAGAAGCGACGGTTATGCCGCGCCCTACCACCACCACACACCACACACACACCTCTGCTCCACCATGTCTCGTTGCTTCCACGTTTTCACCGTGTACACAGGGGGGTGGGGGTACCGATTGGCATCGATGAGGATTTTCCACTGGAAAGAAACTCCTAATTCATCGGTAACGTTGATAAGAGATCCCGAACGATACACACGGTGGGACGATTGGGAAATATAGATCCAACTGACCGGTAATCGATCGGATTTTGATGTTTGTCTTATGGGGGCTAGTATAGGGGATCGAATGGTTCAGCGTGAATTACTCTCTCTCTCTTTTTTTTCAACGGAGTTACAAGGAAGAACGACATTGTTCGGTCTTACCGATGCTTGAATGGGACGAGTGGATTCGGGGATGATAGGGCAGGCGATCTCATAATACTATTTATAAAAGGATTTTATCGTGGTACCGAATATTGATTTTGGGAGGAACAAAATGTACCTGTGTAATACGTGTGTAACAGGGTTTAGGAAACAGCGATTGCGAATTAAGTGTGTATGTATATTAATTGTAGATGCGAAGGGAGGCTGTAAAACAGAGATGGGCTGTAAAATATTCGAAGAAGGGCCGACGGAAATAATTCTTTTACGAATAACGTTGACGATTCCGTTTCAACCCCTTAGGGTCGAGGACGGAAAATAAAAAAAATTGCTGAGTCGTTAGGGACGGAACAGGGGTTGGTTGTTTAATGCCAAGTGCACTTCGAGCCAAGAGACGCCCTAGACTTTTTTTTTTCTTCATTTCAGACAATACAACCGCTGTTGCATGGAGAACTGTTGCTTTGCCCCCGATGTCTCCGAGATCGCCAGCAAACAAGCAGAATGTGCGAAAGTGTCGGACCAATTTTAACGACAAAGCCTAGCCAGCCCCTTTTGTTTAGCAACGACATATGTCAACGAAATTATTCTGGAGCAGTCCGTGTTAAAGCGTTGCGGGCAAATATCGAGAATACCGCCCAATGCTATCTCGACTCGCTATCGGTTACGGTTTGGAGATAATTCATTGGCAGGAAACTGCCGTGATATGAAATTCCGTACCGTGTTGAAATATATAAACCAATAAACCAACTGAAGAAACATAGTGGTATTAAATGCTCGTACATAAATTAAAGAGCAATGGACTGAAAATCTTTATCGATTAAGAATCTAAGGTAAACGTTCCATAATTCTACGCACCTAAAAATTATTCTATTAACATTGATTATCAAGTCACCAACCCCTCCCCTCAATTAACCCACGAGGTCGTACTCGATCCTATAATTCCTCTTGTGCTGTCCCCACTCTTTTTCATTATTCTTCTTTTACTCTATTTACTATAACTCATATACCTCAATTATTGTTCCTTATCACATCAATAAACAGAAATACAAGTACAAGATAATAACTTTAATACCCGTCTGAAAATGGTAAAAAAAATCTCGGATCGGATCTGACCCCACCTTATCAAATACAACCTTAAAACCCACCTTACCATTGGAGGGTTAATTTAAACGTAATAAACACAAGTAAACAGTTGCAAATACAATAACCGAATAACAGCAGCACACCTGTTAATTACGTTCATTTAGAATAAATGGGGATGAACTTACTCGAACGGCATTCTTCAGGGCCTCCGCCTCCTGACGGAGGTTGTCGAGCTCGCTCATGATGCCCGTCTAGCGATACGTCGATCACGGGAGAACACCCGTCAAGGGTGGGAAGTGGGTGTCTCGTAAGGAGGTGGTGGAGGTGGTTGCACCCCCCGGCGAAGCTTAAAACGTGGTTCTCGAGGGGGCGACGAGCGGCTTCTATCTCGCTCGAGTTCTCACACGGAGGCGGTCGGTCGGGGCCCGGTGTCACGCCGTCGACGCTTTTTCCGGCGGCCAACGAATGTCCTCAGGCTTTCCACCACCGGGAACAGGAAGAGGAGCAAGAAGAACGAGCCTCCCCCTCCAGCAGGTCCCACCGTTCACTCCCAGGCCCTCTCTCTGATCTGCTGCTGTCACGGCTTCCGTTTCCGCCGCTACCACCGGAACCAGAGCCAGGCCACCGCTGACTCTCCCGCCCCTCGCGCCAGCTTCGACACCTCCTAGCGAGACCGTTGCCACCCCTGATAACAAATTCGTGAGAATTAGATTCCTTCGATGCTCTATATATCCATCTTACCATAAAGACAAAAAGAATCGATCGATTCAAAGGTTTTCAAGTCTTCCAGACTTAAAAACCTTCTGCTTCTCCAACTTTAACTTTCGAATACTGATTCATTGGATGGTCAAACAATAGAGTGCTGGAATAGAATATTGTGGTTTTTTGCAATGTATTAGATAATTTATCGTCTCAGACTACACACGGTCCACGGAAACATATTTACTGTTCTATTTTCATCTTCCGACTCGGCGCATTCGTGTCACGGACGGAACATTTCTTTTTTACGTTTGTGCATTAGTAGAGCATCATTAATCTTCCGTTAGATAAAGATGATATCCAGCTCTCGGTTTTTACGAGAACCGACTCCCCCGCTGTCTTCTATTCCCGGCTTGAATTCACGCCGCTCGGTGAACCCGACGAAACATGAATGTTTCTCGAAGTTTACCCGTGGCTATTTTTAACTAACCGAACAGATTACGTCCCAGCTGAGGTAATCTATGAATTTTTTTCCAGGAAACCCATTATTAACAAGTTCTGGTCTCTCGACTAGATCCGAAACTTACGGCCGTTCCCTCGACATCGACCATATTTTCCACAATTTCGCGTCACTCCATGTTAACTATACATTCGCTCTGTACACCGAATAATTTCCCCGGTCGGTTAATTTTTCAGTTTCCATCGGAATTCGGTGGGCAACGAGCGTCCTTCACCTCCAAAAGGTCTCACAACCCGGGGAATCCGAGGGTTGTCGATCTGCCGCAAGGTGTTCTCATTTTCCGGAACCGATGGAATCGCTCGGCGCATGAGCAAGCACTGTGACACCGAGCACGATACCCGGTGTCTCGATGAAAAACCAATCTATCGTTAACAAAAACCGATGCATCTCCCCTAAGCTCTTTCCATAATAAGAAACACACTAAAACCACACGAACCGCACATATTCAAATTACAACCCCAAGCCTAAACCTCTATCAGAGCACTGAAACGACCAGCCAGACGAACTTACACGCTCCGTTCGTCTTCCACTCTTGTCAGAGCGTCATGGATCCCGAGGAAACATAACCTCCCGGCGAGCAACGTTCCTGAGAAGGGCGACGAGTAGCTTCAAGGAACCCGTCTTCCACCGCCAGATTGCGCCGTCGATGGAACGCCAGAGAAATTCCGGTAAAAGGTGTCACCCAGGTAGAGGGAAAAAGTCCTGCAAAACGCGAGTGCCCGTGGTGCTCTAGCACGGTAGAGGTACGACGGCTACGATACGCACGCACACGTAGGACCGGTGAAACGCGCCCATTGGTGCGAGTTCTCTTTTCATGCCGCGTTCACAAGAACCGTCGAAGCAAAGAATCGATGAACAGTCGTGGCGGCGGCTCGCCCCACTCGTTCCGTCTCACTCGCGCTTTCACCCTACGGCAACGTTCTCTCTCACTCTATCGCACCCTACCCTTTCTGTCGGCTGTTGCTCGCCTCGGGGGTGCACAACACGCGAGACGACACCGTATCCCACACGATATCTTCCACCCACGACACGCGTTTATTGTGTCGGTTCGAATGCACGACGAGAGACCACGATCTTACACGCGGTTTACCGGAACCACACCCAGGGAGGAACAACGCCGTGGTTTCGAGAGAAGATCGCCGCCTGGGCGGATGAAAGCAAACGGGGGAGGGAAGGGATAAGCGACGCTGGCGCCACGGCGCCTGTGTACCGGCTGACTACCGGCGTCGACAGGACGCCATTGTCGAGCGTGTGACAGGTTGCCGTTGTTTGGCGGTTCTGATATCATGACGGCCACTTTTTTTTTCCGCTAAAAGGACTCATCGATGATGAACTTGAAGGAGAGGGTTCGAATTTTAGGGATGGGTTACCTGTCTGGTCAACCTGTTAGAGGATATATACACGTTTGGGAGTAACTGGAAGGAATTTCAGACACCGAGGATTCACTCTAAATTAGATCCTCAAGAGCTTGATGGGCTGTCTGGAAAGTTGGAGTATCATCGCTTCGCGAACCCTCCCTCCCAGGATGCTCCGAAATTCTATTAATTTCTGAGGGACTGGTATCGATCAACCCTCGAAACAATCCCAGAAGAATCTACTCGCAAAAGTCCCAACCATGTCACCCAGTTCTTGGTTCGAGTTTTTACGGGTTGCGCGAGGGAAAATGTTCAATCAGGCGCCAGGAGCTCAATCCACGGCGGAATGTGCAATTAACGAAGTAGAACGCGTATATGAGATTTATCATAGAAAAACTCCTCCGCCCTAACGGGTACGACCTACATACCATTTTATCGCCGTTATCACGGAAGAAGCGGAAAACGATTCCCCGTGTAATATCCACGCGAATCGTCTAGCTCCGTCGTTCCCGTGGCTGGTGGGGACCAGAGGCTCCTCTATCATCGAAGGGATACCTAGGCCATCATCCTACACGCGTTCCCGGATGCACAAATGGGAGCAACAGTTGAACCACACGGGTCAACGTCCAATACGGTCTCTATCTCTCTCTTACTCTGCCGGTCTCCCCATCTGCTTCGAACCGACTGTACACAACCGCGAGGCTGCCAAGTACCTCACACCAAGTGTGTACTTCGACGGAGAACCCTGGCACGGCCCAACGGTCTCCGCAACGGGCGACAAAGAATGGCAGAGAAACCGAGAACGAAAGGTCTAGCGAACCCCGATACACAGAACCGTGCCAACGGTTTACGTTGGACGCCTGTTGGAGTTGCACCTGCCACCACTCGGTTCCAATCACCGAGTAACCCTCTGGGTGTGTTTACCTGGTCAGCGTGCCTCGATGCTTCGCCAACACCTTTCGTTTTCTTTTTTTTTTTTTTTCGGGGTAAACTGTTGCCAGCCGCTGAACATGCGGAAATCATTTCAGTTATCGATCCCTGATAGATTCAGTATTTAGAAAGACAATTTCTCTTTTCGTAATCGAAATCGTTGCACTTGTAATGATTGTACAGACTCTTCTCGATTATTGTCTCGAAGTCAGGTCCGCATCGGGACAATAATCTTGTAGGGAGAAATGTTTCAGACCCTCGTATGTTCGTTTTTTGTCCGAAGCCCGAGCAACAAAAGCGGTTTCCACGGTGGAATAACGCCTGGACAATAATCGTGTAGGACAAGCCAGACGATAATCGAAAGGAGTGTGTACTTCGGTTCCAGTGAATGAACCGATGCTTGAGCCTTGAACATCAGCCACACATCTACCTAACGTAATGTGAACAGAGTGTGAAAATGTTATTTAAGTGATTGCCTAAGGTCATTACTCTTGTTCTAGTATCTTAGAGAACTCAGCAACCGATCTCTAGATCCCACACGTTCGAGGAATTACAACATCGGCCGCGAATAATTGGGCCTAAACGATGATCAAATGGATCCTAACGATATTAATTACAATGTATTCTTAGGTGAAACGGCTACGTTACAGCCCGTTCCGTCTCTGTCCGAGAAATGATATAGTGGCATTACAGCTGATGACTGTAATTCACATCAGCACGACCTACTTTCGAAACGCGTGGAATCAGAGATGATCGAGCTTCCAGCAGCGACACACGATGTGGCTGGATTGTTAGGTTCTGTTAATAAACGTTCTATCGATCAGACAGAGTAGTCGAGAATCATTCGCGATCGCCGACAACAAACATCGCGGTTGATTCACATCGGTCCTGGTCACGAATTTCAAGCTCGAAATTCATAAAGAATACATTTTCCTTGCGAATCCTCCAACTTTCGGCGTGAAAACACACACAGACACACCGTCTGAGAATAGGTACGAGCATAAAGAACGCGTCAGGCTTAAAATAATCCGTGACGCAAGCCGATCGATCTATCAATCAATCTGCAAACTGCACCGCAAAGAGAAACACTTGTTCGTTTTGTTCCGAACGGCTTCTCCCCGTTTGAAAGCATCGATCGCGAAGACAGACGTAAATTGTGCCCGTTCCGAGGAGCGCACCTACAATCGCGCGCGGGCGATCTATTTAACGCGGCCTGTGACTACCAGGCAGGTGGTGGTGCAACTATCGATAAAACTGTCTCAGAGAAGAAAGAAAAAACATAATCGAAAATTAACCGACTCCTATACGAATCCCGTTTAAGAATTCAGAGCAGAAGTTAATTTAGGTGCAGCTATGAGTCACCCAACTACGCGACACTACGTCTATATTCGCGATCATATGCGACTCTAGGCAGTATAAAGAACAAAAACATACATAAAGCATAGATCGACTTCAACTGTGAGGAAATCAACCTCAAAGACCAGCACCTGTAATGTTCCCAAGATACTCTAAGGGTTCGAAAAAGGGATGTGTCGGTGGGGTCTTTCGATCGACGATTTCTCTCAAAGAAAATATTTTTTTGAATCTAAGTGAGTATAGATCCACCGCAGACGAACAAAAAACGCGTGCTGAGAGATCGAGAATTGATCGAGGATACTAAGGGATGGAACAAAACGGGAGAGTAATGATCCAGTCGAGAAATTCTTTCCCTTGGTTTTTCTAACGTACACGTCGGTGATACATTTAAGATACGTACCCAGCGTAAGGGGTTGTGAAAAGGAGGACGTGTAGGGGTTGACGAATCCCAAGCGGGCTGGGGCGGGATGGGCGATACACTACTGCAGAGGTGATGGCAGGTGAATGACGTCAGAAGGCAGACTGTGTGACGTCAGAAAGTAACCTGAATATGGAACTTCCGATGGGAAGACTTTCTTTTCACGATCTGCGGCGCGATTTGGCACGAATTTCATTCGACTTACCGAGCTTAATGTCTCTCCTTGAATTTTTCAATATTTTCGTATGCGTACGTTTACAATCGGTTTGGAAAATGGAACCTCGAACAGACACGTGGCTGTATATTTAATGGTAATTCTGAACGGAGTTCGAATTTCGATGGAGTTGAACCGCATCGTTGTGCTGCGTGAAGAAATTAAGCCGCAAATAGATCGTTTCGCTATTTTTACGGATCACCGTGACGTCAGAAGGGGAGAGAGAGAGCGAAGCAGGCACTTGAATGTTTGGATTAACCAAGAATCCAGAAGGCTCGTGGACCAGCTTCGAGGAAATTAGACTCTCGTGAAGAGGCATACCGTCGTTCGAACACTCCGAACCGGTTCATTATCGGTCGCGTTATTCTCTGATTGGTTCAATTGCACCACTGGACGAGCCAAAGATTAGACTTTTCGGTCAGATTGTATACATTAATCTTCGTTAGTACCCTCCGCGTAATTGCCAAGAGTATAGTACCGTTGAAGATCCGGTAACACTCGAGAATAAAGTTTCCGAAAGAATAAATTCGAGTCTCCCGGGGGAAGTTTCAGTTGGACACGAACGGTCGAGGACGTAGCTTCGGCTGTAGAATCAACAACCCTTTTTTCGTCGGCTCGTTTTCAACTGGTCCGTCCGACGAGCAGGCCGAAAGGAGGGATAACCCATGGCGGACGAAGGGGAACTCGCAACAGGACGTGACCCCGCAATGGAGAGGAGGGGTTGGAGGGTGACAGGAAGGAAGGGAGGAACAGGGGGTTCGCCAGTGAAACACATCATTGGCATTGCTTTCGTGCCGGCTAAGTAGCTGGCGACCCACTAACCGTCCTACGAAACCCGATCGTCATTTGCGATCGTGTTTTCTATCGAAGAAGAGTGCAGAGAGGATACTGCGTGCGCGATACGCGGCCCTGTTATCTACGAGGATTTCGACTGGTTTCGAATAGCAGGGTCGATAAGCATTATTTACACGCACCGAGAATCAAGATTGCTCCTTGAACGTTATCGCGAATGTAACTTCTACGTCTGACGAATTGCAATAAATTGTGAAAACGTTACTTCGAGCTCGTTCACATGGCTCGACCGATGAACACCTTATCGACACATCATTTCCGTTAAACTAAGGGAAAACCGATGTTTGTTTGTAACACAAGAGTGTCATATACCTCCTTGTTTTCTACGAAGACTTCAGCCTATGCCCCAGAAACTTGGCAAGAAATTTCAATCTTATAACACGAGCATTAAATGGATGTATGTACCCAACGGATCGGTCGATAAAACGTTAAGATGGTCAGGTTTGAGTCGATGGCGATCGATCGATAGAAATATCGTTTTCAGTTATTGATCGGTAAAGGTTCACTTATCGTTCCCGCGAATTCACGGCTATCTGCCGGATCCGTGTGAGTCACTCGCGGCCAAACGCAATTGATTCCCGGTCAATCGAGGGGTGCAGGACCGATAACAGATACCATCGGCGTCGCATCTTTCAAGTGGAACGCAGTCAATTGAGCCGGAGGCACACACCACCACTTGTCTTGGGGACTACGACGACTTTCGAACCAATTAAAGACGATTAAGACAGCTGCCAGCAGCAATTGGCCGGCCAATCGCGGACCAGACTGCGTCTTCCCGCGGTACCGGCCGAGTCGTCTTTTTTTTCCTGCTTTGCCAGAACCGCGGCGTTTCTTCTCGTGATCTCGACAGAACCGTGGACTTTTCCCCAGTCAAAGCTTATAATTCCTCGAAGAACGGATAGAATTCTCCGTGCAAAAAGGTGAATCAATCGCGGATTAAAATTATCTTCGGACGATAAGAATGAAACGTTTCAAAATCGGCCGGTAATTCCTCAAGGTCGCCCCCCCCCCCGATGCGCAACTCGGTTATTCCATTTCCTTTGTCGTTCATTTTCCCCTCTGTGACTCAGACTGATCGGCAGAGTAAATAACTCAGCCACAAACGCCGCGCCAGAGAAGCGAAGTAACGATAACGAAAGCAACCGGCGCATTATCCAGCAATTCTGGTCGTTTGCGTCCTTTCTAAGACGAGTCGTTTCGAAAATTGCTTGTAACGCTCGTCTCTTCGCGGCTCTTGGAAAGCAACCCCTATAGGGGGTGTCCTTGGAGTAACCGTACAACAAGGACAGGACGCGTTCTTTGTATTTCGAAAATCAACGCTGGTCTCAAACGTGTCGCAGACGTCCGGAATGGGAATAACGGGACAAGCTTATATCGAGACGGCTCATTTCATTGAATTCCATTGGTCTGACTTCTAGGATACTCAACGATGAATCGAAATAACGTTTAATAGTTTAGCATGAAATATTATTCAACAATCTCAACTTTGAAATAGAATAATATATAGAAATCAGTAATAGATTTACGTTTAACGTAACGAAGACTCTCTAACGCAGAAAGTTGATTGGCAATGGAGTGCAATTTTTCAAAGTAAGTCTCGAATCTGTGATTGATCATTTCTCGAAGGCTCGTACGAGCGTGAAATGTTCAGCCTCGGGTAATAATTATGAAACGTGTGGCTCGATGATGAAAGTGTCATATTTTCGGCGAACACGTGTAGTACCCGATGCACAAAGTGGCGTCGCGGTATTTTTATCCGGCGGATTCACGTTTTCGCAAAAGTATAGCGTCCACGATACACCCGGGGGCTGCCGCGCAATGGGCCGCAGTTTGTTTTGCGCGGAAATTTCGGCCTCGACGCATTATGCAAGACTCCTTTTATTACGGTCCTCGTGCCGCCCGTGCGATAACTCGCGTAGGCTGGGCTACTAGTTAAATAAACGTCAACAACGCGGGTGTCACAACGAAAACAATTCCCCGCCATCTTATCGGCTGTTTCTCGTACGTGACCCCCGTTCATTTTTACACGGTTTTCTTCCTACTCGTGCATAATTATAAACCGGAGATAAGAAAACCGCAGCGAACGTCCGTGCGCGTGTTCACGAATGGTAATAATGCAAAAAAGAAAAACACAACGAATGCTATGCGTTAATATATCGATGTTATTCTTCCAATGGATGAATAATAATTTCTAAGCAATATATTACCATTCCGCTTCTATCATCCAATCTCAATTATTGCACAGTGATCATTGATCGACAATTAAAGAACGTAAATGAAGCTTATCTTTGATTTTGAATCAAATGGAACCCTGAACGAAAGAAATCTTTAATGTCCACCCTTAAAAATTAACCTATACAAATTTAAATTACTATAACAATTTTTTGGAGAACTAACAATAGAGAGGAATCTGTTTTTGATCCTGGTTTTTGTAAAATATCGTATAAAGATTTGACATAAACATTCCTAATCTAATTATTATTATTAATATGTAGTGTAGTACGGAAAGAAACTAGAACTGAAGGAAGTGGACATTTCGCACACATCCCGCTACTAAATACTAGACGCAGGCGTGCATTAACAGATAATGAAATACCCCGGCTTGCATCGTGAATTAATGGTTATTGATCCCCTATGTAAATTTGCAGTAATCTCGGGTATTGCCAGCGAGCCAGAAGTTCTGTTAAAAAGCCAGTTCTCGTGGTTCGCTATTCCGCGCCGGGCTCGTTAACAATTTCCGTCCCCCCAGATTCCTTTTACGCAGTGAAAATTCTTGTACGAGGAAAGTTCAGCTTAAGCAGGAAGAATCTCATTACCGCTGGAGCCGGCGGTTCTGACTCATAGGCTCCAGAAATCGATCGAAGAACGTTCAATCCGTTAGAATACAAACAAGATTGAGAATATTTCTCACCGGTGAACAATGTCGAATAGTATCGTGGAGCAAGGAACTGGGCGGAAACACGGTCTCGGTGTTAAAATAACCGCGATGACGGAACGGGAAAATTTGACAGCGTAGCCTAGGCGGCCGCCATCTTTGCTACTCGGAATCGTGTCGAAGGGCCGGCTGCGGCCACGACTAACACGTATCTAAATACGCGATACGATCGACGAAAATAGAAAACAGTGAATCATCATAAATAAATAATGATCGTCCTACCTGGAGCTCCCTAACGGAGCGACGCTTGCCAAAATTCCCGGTTCGATGTAACGGCCTCTCTGTCCCACGAACGACTCCTTTCTCGCTCTCTCTCCCTCTTTCTCTCCCTCCCTCCTGCTGCGGCGGGCCTTCTTCCTAGCCTCGATCTCTCACATCGATGACGATGCACTTTCCTTTTCACACGTCTCCGTCTCGAAACACTGTGGCCGAGAAACGGAGCGAAATAAACGCACTCTCGTCGACGACGTCTAACGACCGGGACGAGTCTCTCTCTCCGCCGCGGGACTATTTCGCGACACCACCGAGACCGCCACTTCGTTTAAGGTTAACTTCAGTCACTACGTGGAACGGATAGATATAAAAACACGGGCACGACGTATATCCCGCGATTGGTCTCAACCAGTCGAACGGTACGGCGTTCAGGCGGTTGTTTTCATTGATAACAAAAAATTACTGAGACGAAGCAAGCGGAGCTGCTGTCGCTGCTACTGCTGCTGCTTCACGGCTCTAGCGGGCGGCAGGGCGGGGCTCCGTGCTTCCAGTCTCGTGGACCCCGTACACCCCGTACGAAGTCGCCGGTACACGAAGAAACCCGAACACCGGTGGCGCCTCCTGTCGCGCGCCGCCAATTTCAAAATTGAAATGGGACGTCTTTCCGACGATTATTTTTTTATTTCTTCTGGCCAAATGCAAATTTGATTGAGATACATAAAGCAATTAAGAACTTACAATTTGTACATGCAATATTAGGGTCTCTTATGACAAGTGTAGTCGCAAACTGAACGAAATACGTCTTCCTTTCCTTCTTTACGTGTACTTCTTCATCCATGCACCTACAGTCCCGCTGCAAAATGAAAAATTCCATAGCCATCTAGCGACAATGTTTTGAATTATTTTTATTTAGTAGTAGTCCGAGAGATGGCAGATGAGTAATGTTTTAAATGTAAAAGGTCACGCCAGATGGAACCTTCATGTATGTACTCATAGAATTTATGCTTTATCGGTAATGTCAGATATTGATACTGAAATAGTACATAGGGGGCTCTGGAGCCCCCGAAGTATGTGACAGAAATTACACTGGGTGTTAGGTCTATTCTATATCTCATCTTTGCAACAACTCAAGAATGTTGTCTTTGGTCTCAAATTATTTATTGCAATCTTATGAAGCTTTGACATCGTCAGAATCACAATTGATGGTATGGAATGCCAAAAATGTCGACTAATTGTTTCCAAAGAAATTGTCTTTTCGACGAACATCTCACGTATATAGGGACACAAAGCTAGGGGGGTGACGATCAGCACGTGAAAATCCATTGTCAGTACTGTCTCCGGGACTTTTGTTTATAATGTCTATAGAGAATATGAGGTTGCTTTTGTGCCTAACCTTGAGACTCAAGGCTTGAGTTTCATGCATGTGTTGCATGGTTATCATACAGACGCACATTAACTTTATTTTTTGTACCACCGACGTTATGTCATAACTACATATTCTTGGAAATGATTAATAACGGATTACATAGCATATTGAGTCAGTAGAACCATCTTCAATAAATAATCAGAAATTGTTGCTGTCGTCGTTTCAATCGATAACCTAAAAGTTCTCTATTATGACTTGGCTGGGAACGATCGCCAATAACGTTCTTCGGAACATTGTTAATGCGGATGTACAGCCACATATAGTACAGGAAGTGAAGCCAGACCAGTATTGTAATCGACATATTCACTGCCGCGAGGATGCCATCGTTCTTTATGGCCCGGGAACCAGAAATGAAAAGTATGAAATCGTTCTTCATAGACCTTACACGGAAACGTTGCATCAGGCGTACAGGTATTTTCATATATTCTTTTCGTTTGATATTGTCTTTCTGTTTATTTCATGTAGCATTATCTATTAACTTAATGTTTTCAGCTTATATAGGTCGGAAGATAAGCAACAAGCTGAACAGCATTTCATTGTGTACAAAGACAAAGTTCCTGTACTCGTCCAAATTTGTAAAGAGGTAATTATATTTTGTCTTGTACTTATGGTGACTGAAATGGGGAAGTAGTTAATTAACATTATCATTACTTATGTATATTTTGTCTATAGATGTGTAGTGTGGGTAAGATACAAAAAATATGTGATACTCTAGTGGAACATCCTACTTGGACATTGGCACATTTGGCAGCGTATTTCGCCTTATACAATGCATTTACTTATGCTGTTGTGAACAGCCAGTTAAACAGTGGAGACATAGAGACTGGAGTATCTCCTCTGCAAGTTGCAGTACAAACCAATAATCTGCGTACAGTACAGATGCTGATCGAAGCTAAAAGTTCCTTAGAGCATCTAGACCATAATGCCAACACTGTGTATCATTTTGCAGCTACATCTTCCAAAGAAATAATTCTAGCTCTAGGTGGACACCTTCCTTCTAGTTTGAATAGTCGTAATAGCAATGGTCATACACCAATGCACGTCGCATGTTTGAATAATAAACCGGATTGCGTGAAAGCGCTTCTTTTGATTGGTGCGGACGTGAATATTCCTGCGTCCGAGGGAGAACCTTCTAGTCCGGGATATGTGGGCGATCTTCTTCATAGTAAACCGAACGTTCTTCATGCCGAAGACATGAAATTCGGCGGAACGCCACTTCACTGGTCCCTAAGCAGGGAAGTGATTAACGCCCTGATCGAAACTAACTGTGATATCGATGCTCTGAACTTCGACGGTCGGACGGCATTACACATAATGGCAATGAGGAAGCGTCTACCCTGCGTAGTAGCTCTTTTGAGTCACATGGCTTCTGTAAACATCGTGGACAAAGATGGTAACACTCCGCTACACTTAGCGGTCTCTGAAGGCACACCGGCGATAGTTCAAATGCTAATAGGTTTTGGAGCAGACATCGACGCTAGAAATTGGAAATCTGAGACACCGAGGCATCGAGTCAACATGAAAAACAACGACGGTCCGAAGATTCTGTATATTCTGAATGCGGTTGGGGCTCAGCGCTGTTCATCTGATATGAATGAGTGCAATATAGGCTGCAAGTTCAACGAAAACTTCGATGGTGTCCCTCCGCAGCAACCTCCCACAGCTGTTCCGCGAACGATACTAGATCAAATGCTTCATGTCTCCGGCATGGACCAGATGGCGTCGCAGAAGAATAACCGGGTCGAGGGTGGTCGACTGCTTTGTCTCGACGGTGGAGGTATTCGCGGCCTGATCCTTGTGCAAACTCTTTTGGAAATCGAATCGGTTCTCAAGAAACCTATCGTAGAATGTTTCGATTGGATCGCCGGTACTTCGACCGGTGGTATTCTGGCACTGGGCCTGGCGACTGGCAAGTCCCTGCGCGAATGTCAGGCACTCTACTTCCGCATCACGGAGCAAGCTTTTGTTGGCATGCGACCGTACAATAGCGAAGGTCTGGAGAACCTGTTACAGGAAAGTCTGGGAGCAACTAAGGTCATGTCAGACATCAAGAAGCCGAAGGTAATGATTACCGGTGTTCTGGCGGACAAGAAACCAGTCGTGCTTCACTTATTCCGCAATTACGATTCTCCGAGTGCACTGCTACAAGTTCAAGACAGTTCGACATCTAACGCATATCTACCGCCGAACGAACAGTTATTGTGGCATGCGGCACGGGCAACCGGCGCCGCTCCATCATACTTTCGGGCGTTTGGAAAGTTCCTCGACGGTGGCCTAATAGCAAATAACCCGACGTTGGATGCCATGACCGAGATTCACGAGTATAATCTCGCTTTAAAGGCCATTGGTCGCGGAGACATCGCTCCCCTCTCGTTGGTGGTGTCTCTTGGCACAGGGCTGGTCCCTACTAGTCCACTCAAAGATATAGATGTCTTTCTTCCGGAGACTCTATGGGATACCGCCAAATTCGCCATGGGAATACGGGTTCTCGCGGAGCTGCTGGTGGATCAGGCGACAGCCAGCGACGGCAGGGTCGTCGATCGTGCCAGGAGTTGGTGTTCAATGATCGGGGTACCTTATTACAGATTCAATCCCCAACTCTCGCAGGATATCGCTATGGATGAGAAGAACGACGAAATCCTGGCCGATATGATATGGTCGGCGCAAGCGTTCATGCACGCGAATAGGAATCAAATAAAGGAATTAGCTGCGTTGATTAATCGTGACGTTTAAAATGTTGCATAATTGTTGATATTACTTTTGAAATCGAAGACGGGGAATAAGAGGACACAGTCCCACTAAATTAAATTTACGTCGTTGTGTGGAACGCATTATCAAAACGATCGCTTCCAATATGTAGTTACGTGATATGTCTAGACTATAGATCATTTTTCATTATACACTTAACTGTCGATCGCAGATAGCCCTGGGATTACGCGTAATTTATTTAGTTCAATATTTGCAGTCCCTCGTATCCTCAACGCCGTCGTTCTGGTTTTAGAGGGGATGGGGAGTAGTCGAAATGCCAATACTCGCCATTGTAAGATATAAATATAAATTGTAGATACACCTCGTTGATATTAATATTATTCGAGTACGTTTACTCATCTATTTGTTTCTTTATTTAACTGCAAAAGAAAAATGTTCCGACAAATAATAAATAGCAAACGTAGAGAAAGAAACATCAAGCAGTCTATCGAAATCTATCCCCAAAGGCTCCACGCTCATCCTATGGTCACCTTAAACGCTTCTTTTTTTATTTTTTTTCGCGACAGATTCCTATCGATCCAGGTGAATTCCACGAGAGAAGAAAAACACGAAACGATCTCTATCGGGGTCCCATGTAATACGGAGGCTGTGTCATGGACGCGGATATATAAGGATAAAACGAATGAGTCGATACACCCTGCGTCTGATAATCGTTGTCCTCGTGCATCGCGTATCCCTCGGGAGCGGAATAATACTGACTATGCACGCACGCGTACGATTTAGTAGGACTCGTCATGTCCGCGGGATATTTCAAGTTTTCCGGGTACTTCGGTAAATCGTAAGGTTTCGCTTGCAGCTCCGAGTATTTCGGTACTGCGTCGTGGTATTTCGCTGCGGACACTTCGTGATATTTGACAGCCTCGTAACATTTCGCGTCCACGTAACTCTTCGCGTTCGATTCGTACGGTTTACTCTCGTGATCGGTCGGGTACTTGGTCGCGTCGCTGGGCCAAGATGACCTGGACAGATCGTAGGTAGGTTTGCTCTCGTGATACGTTGGTCTTTCGTACGTTTTCAGCCCGGTATCCGAATACAGACGGGGATACGTGCACTCGGACGAGCTCGTAGAATCAAGAGAAGTGCCAGGAGACGACAAGGTAGCTCGATGCATCACGATACCCATCTGTTCCTCCGGTTTTGGTTTCCTTCTACGTGGTTGATACTGGAATTTCATTCGTGTGAATATAGAGGGTCATACAAAAAAAGGGTCTATAACTTCTAGGGTATGTACTATAGAGTACTCGTCAAATGACGAAGAAATGTATTTGGAAAATTCTAAAAAAAAACTAACAAAAATTGTAGAAAATCTACCGTAACCAGGAAAAGATGCAGTGATAAGGTAATCCCTTGTTTCCATGCGGTACGATATCAAAAAATTTAATTTAATTATAATTAAATTCTTACGGATATGAATCCTTTTTACAACATATTAAAATTGTTTATAACTTTTGAACATATTAGTTTTTCAACGTATGTTTATTAGAACTATCTACCCGAGAAGTTACGAACCCTATTTCTTTTCCATCGCCCACTTATAGGATCGTAGTATGATGACGAAGCTAGACAGTGAACAAACGTGAATCACCTTGTAATGTGGATGCTGTTTCTTGTGAGCGTTCCTCAGCCTCTCAGCCTCCTCTACGAACGGTTGCTTCTCACCGTCGCTTAGAATTCTGTCGGATGAACGTGCGTCAATTCGCCGCGACTATAATAATCGTCACGATAACAAACAACGATGACAATGTACCTCCACAGTTTTCCCAGCGTTTTCGACAACTCGGCGTTGTGCAGCTGAGGATACTGATCGGCTAACCTGCGTCTAGCCGCCTGAGCCCAGACCATAAACGCGTTCATCGGACGTTTCACGTGGGCGCTCCTTCGTCCTCCCGCGCGAGATGTTACCGGAAGTAGGGTCCAATCGTAGCCTGCGAAAGACAATTTCACAATTTCATACATACGAAATCGCGAGCGTATATTAAGAAATATACATCTATATTTCCATGTTGGGTGAACGTTCAACGGAGGAAATACGGGACACGCGGTACCGGAAGTCGTGCGTTGCGGCCTATCTTCCTGCGGAATTGAATCGTAAAGGAATATAGCAGATAAAGCGACACCTGTATCCTTTGCGAAACCTGCTTGACGAGGATTTCATTCCCTTCGCCACCTTCGTTCGTCGACGTTTGGCGGCCCCTCGGCCAAGACGAACCGCGATAGAAGTTTTACGAGTTGGAAATGAAAGAGAGTTCCCGAGCACGGTGGTCTTTATCGACCGATCGTAGACGCGCATTAAGAGACTAATTATTATTGCCTTTTTGCTCTCTCTGTATCGCTGTACGAGCCGACCCCGCTGCTTCGAGAAACATTATTCGGGTCATCGCGAGTTTTCCGTTCGGCGAAATTTCATCTCGCAAGTCGAGAGATTCCAATTCGAACCAAAGTATACAATATCGTTCCGTTTCGTACATTTTCTCGGTTTAATTAACCGGCTCGATTTCGTCGTGGGAACACGAGTGCCGCCTGGGGTACATAAAACGTGAAGCTACTTCTCGTTAAAACGGATCTAGCGTGCAACGTGTATAAATCTATTTTATGTTTAATGCGGTTACGAAAGTTCCCGGGGGCTTTCGAGCTCCGAAGAGGAAAAAAAAAAGACGAGGAAAAGGAAGAGAGAACGAGCCGAAACGAGGAAGAGTTGTGTAGCCACGGTGACGGAAGATCGTTTCGAAGTGTGCGTACCGTTTCTGCTTCTAATTGTCGCATCGGGGTGATCGTCGAGAGGAAAAAACACACAAGTGGGAAGGAAGGTTAGATGGAAGGACGGTGCACGTGGTAAAATGTCACCAGGAGCCGAGGACCCTGGTGGATTCGGTGGGAGCTAATTACCATAGGGACACGGTCCACCGACGCGGCTTCTCTGTCGGTTCCCTTTCACGCCGACCCAGAATATTTTCCGTGGAAACGCGGAAGGGCACCTCGCACCCTAAAAACCGACGGGAATAGAAAAAGTTTCGCGCGAAAAATATATATGGGCTGGAAAGGTTATGGGTTTCGTCACTAATCGCCCGTATTCGACAAGCCCGTCTCCTTCAGCCGTTCGAAACGTTATGTACACTCGCGAGCAAACTCTGCTTCCCCTAGGGGAAAAAGTGGCGTAGAGAAAGGGACTTCTACCATTTGAATTCGGAAGTTTCTGAAATTTATGCCAAATTAACATTCGATTTAACATTTATTTCACTATCTGGAATAAATTTACCAAGTGGTAGAAGACTTTTCTTCTACGCTGCTTTTTCTCTAGCAGAAGCCCTGAAGAATACCCCCCCCCCCTTCGATCGCCACGAATTTCGAGCAGACGGCCAAAGTTTCGAGCCAGCTCCGAACGAAACAACGGGTATGTATATGTACGCGTAACTAACGACGAATTGATTAATCGACCGAGATGGGATCGGGTTGACCGAGAACTTTGATACTTTTCCGTCGTGGTATGAACGGCTCCTTCAGGGAAGATCGGGAGCCCGGTTCACAATAAGGGGTTGTGGCCCGCTGAATGAACCGGTGTACGTCTCGTCAATGCCGACCTGTCGTCGACGCTTGCTACATTAACTCCTTTACAAGACCGTCCAATGCCGACGGACGGTCTTGTTAACGAGGAGATCCCTTAAACGCATCGACACCTTCCTCTATTGGCCAATGAGAGATGGGAGCCGTGGGGTCCGACACGTGTGCCAGATCAATTGATCTCGTTCGTACGTTAAACCCTATCTATAAACACAATCTTTCGATCAAGAAACGATCCCGTATATATGCCATCATTGCGATCAATGAATTTCGTTTAATTTTTCATAAATTATACTAACGATTAATGTATCTAGAAAAGGTAACGGAATCGGATGATCGTGTAATGTAATGGTTTCAAAAAAGGAAACTTGTAGTTCGAACTGCATCGTGGAAGAAAGAGAGGGAGAGTTCGGACGTGATGCGTTTTCGTAAATAACGCCCAGGTCTCCCCGTTTTGCCCTCTTGGCTCCACCTTCCGCCATAATTTTCGCTAGGTACTCCAACCGAGCCGATGTCTCCGATTTAATTTCGTACTAGCATAATTAGCGTCGGTGGCAAACGTTCAGCGGTCTCGCTCGGTTCGCAGCACCTGCCGTTTAAATCTTCCACGGAATCGTCTTTCCGCGGTCTTCCGACCCCTTTGGCCCCCCTGTCGGTCCTACACGATCTCTTCCATCATGCTCGGCCGTGTTTCCCTGCCGTTCCGTAGCGCGGTATCGCGCAGATAAATCTGAGGAGGCAGCCACCGAAGCCGGCTTTCAGTGCCAATTAAAGTGTCCTCCCTAAACGACCCAATGAAGACGCCCGTCTATACAGCGCGCGCGCGGACAAACGAGCGCGACACACGAAAAAGACGACGAACGCGCAACGTTTATGTACCGTGCACGTTGGGTGATCCAGGGTACATAATATAATACGTTTAGCTCCGTCGATCGCTATCTCCCCCGAAATATCCTATTTCCGATGAACGTTCTTTTTTGTCCAGAGTGAAGCGTCTACTCGATAAGAAATCTCGACGGTGAGTCAAGCTAGAGATTCTAATTGAATGAACACAGATTCAACGTAATAAATACAGAGTGACGAAAAATAAATGCAATAAAATGTGAATTGTCCTAGAAGAATAATTTCACAATATATTTCAGAGATGCTTGGTTTTATTTAATTGTCCGTATTTTAATCTCGAAGTAGTGCGGAGAGTGGCGAAACATTTTACCCAAGCGTTTCAAACTATGCACAGAAAGGCATATAAGGCTCATAGCCATGTATTATTTTTTTGTCCCGATTGATTGAAATTATAACCAAAATATGCATTTATTTTTTGTCACCTTGTATGATCGATTCACAGCGAACCTTGTAGCAACTTGCCCACTGCGTCGTCCAACGTGCTGCTGCATTGTTCGCCATTGCTCGACGAAGGTCCAGCTTTCGTTTCCGTCGCCGACGACACGCCGTTATCGCAACGAGCCTCCATCACTCTCGGATTCTTCTCGTTGATCACTTATCTAATATCCAGTTTCTCCGCATTCGCGATGGGAGAGAACGAGTTCTTCGAGTTGCCAGGGCCCCTATAGGAGGATATCCAGATGGGGGAAGGGAGTCCCCGATCGAGGTCCCCGGTAAGAAATTTTCGGCGAAATGTCGAACTTATCGGTGGGGTTTCACGTTTATCGCGGACTCTGTCTCCTTCGTTCACGTGAAAAGGCGGATCGTAAAGAATCGTGACCGCGGCGTAGTGAACGACAATTAATCCCAAGGGTTATCGGGAGCGCGTAATTTATCGGTGGTTCGACCCTCTCGTCCTGTCTCGAATATCCGATATCGGCGACGCATCGACTTCCGTCGTTTTCTTGGTCGAATCCTCCCGTTATCTAGTATAAGTATCTTTCGCGTGTCGACGACCGATCGACGAGTAATCCTGTACTGCGTCTCAATCGTCCACTATCGTCGAGAATGTTGACGATTCAATTGAATTCATTGTCGCGATATACTTGCACTATATCACCCTCGAATATCGTGGATTCACGACGAACGATCGAACGGCTGCGAACAGGAATGGACACTTTCGAGCCGGAATCGCGCGAAGGTACCAGCACGGAGGAGAAACGGCGTGCGCGGATGATCAAGGAGAGACTCCGATGGCTGACTGACTGACTAGAGAAGAAACACGGATGCGGGGACACGGGTGTCGGTGTGTGGAGGGTTCTGTTCAGGGACCAGGCACACAGGTTGGTCCACGAAACAGCGAGCACACGTCTGGCACACGCAACCGAACGTTGGATGGTAGATCGTGGAGGCGGTTCCCGGTGGACCACCTCTGCTCTCTCTTGGTGGGGAGGTGCCTAGGATCTTCTTCCTTTTCTGCTCTTCCACGGATCGTTTTCTCGCGTCCTTCGCGCTCGGATCCTGCCTTACTTATCCCCGAGCGTACCTATTCTTCGAAAGTTTATACAATCGAGTCGATCTCGTCGTTGTTCGTCGATTCTCTTGCGCGTGACGTGGGTCGGCCATATCGAACGATATAGATAGATATAACGCTTCCCCGAGCTACAGTGACTTTAGGTGTGACCCTCTCAATTAGTGTGTGATACCTTTAAGGGTACAAGCTGCTAACTGTGCCCTCCCACCAATGTGGTCCAAATGTGTCCCGTTTACTTTCTTTGATTACGTATTTGACATATTTTTTGTACCCTTCAAATTTGAAATATTTTCTTCTTTATAGGGCTTAAAACTGTTTAAGGGAATAACAAATATTCTAAGTCTCCAACAACAACCACCCGCGAAATATAATACATTTACTGTCACTGGGGTTGATTTGCCACCGGAATATTTAAAGGCGTGGATGATCCAAGCCCTTGCTGTTTTTACGAACTCACCCCGATTATACCCCGGAAGACACTATATGTATAATAACCGCGGGAACAACTCGCTGCAGTGGATTCGTCGTAACCCCCGTGCAGCTACCTATGACATCTATTAATTAAGATTACGGTACCAGGCGGATCAGTTCGCTGGCTTGCTCTGGCCCACGATTATTTGATCCTAGCAAACAAACTCGTCGGTGAAGTGCGATTAGATTGTACATTATCACCGGCGCGAGACGAATCGTTGTAACGCGACAAACCCAGAAGGACCGGCGGGGGTTGTCGTCGGTGACCGTGACGCGTTTGGATTCCCGTTTCGCTTCCCGACCGCTTTTATAATTAGATCGACAGCACGCGAATTCGTGCGTGTTTCGTCGTCTCGCGACGGCACGAACCGTGCGATGTAGAGAAAGAAGGACACCGAGATCGAGCGAAGGATGTAGGTACACCGTAGAGGAGAAATAATCGAGAAACAAGAACCGTCGCGGGAGCATAAATCCAAAGAGGTGAGTCGAGGGGTTGGGGGAGCAAGAGCTCCCTTTTTTCCGTTACGGTCGTGTTGCACACGAATCGTAGGGGTTGACAGTCCCGGCCTTTCTGCCGAGCCTAATTATACAACGAATTTAATGAATGAGTGAGCTAGCAAAGACAGTGGCCCATACATGACCGTATATAAACCACGGTCAATGCCGTGTGGCGGCTTTTGCGGGCCAGATCAAAGGGTGTCCCTCCGAGCATCTCTCGCTCGCGGCCCGGTGGCGAGCGTAAAATGCGCGCGAGCCAGCGCTCTCGGAAACGCTCGAGACACTTACGACGGATTACAGATCGTGTATATATATATATATATGTACATACGTTTTTATCCCCCCGCGTTGTCTAGCCACGAAGAAACCAGCAACGATACGACGCAGTTGCGCCTGAACTCCGCTCGAGGTTCTTCTCGAACACCCCCGTGGATTCTACTGTTCGGCCGAGCTCGAAAATAATACCCACGTCGTGTTTCCCTCGGGGACTTAATACCGGTATAATTTTGATACCGGTATTATGCCCAGGGAGTAAAACCGATATGATTTTGATACCGGTATTATGACAGTAAAGGTATACCAAAACCGATATATTACCGAAAACCGAAGTAAATACCAAATTCTACGGAAACGTAAAATACCGGTATTATACCGGTATTTTTCGGTTGTACCTTCGTCACCCTTATAGAAATCGAAATACGAAAATACCGGTATTTGCGTATACCGTTCGGTTTACGTTTCGGTAGAAATCCCTGGTTTCCCTGCGTGTTCTTAAAGCTACCACAAGCTGCAATTTTCGTCCAGACTTTTCCCACCTTGAATACACACGGTTGCAGGGAACCATTCCCGCGCAGCTAACACGTTTCACGATCTCGTTTTTCCTCTGTGCACGGCACCCATTACTGCAACCGGGGCGCGCGGCGCGATCACAAATTTAGCCGACCGCGAACAATAATATTGATTTCACCAAGACGGAATTTTGCTCTTCCTGGGATAAACATCCCGAAACCGCGCACGTGGCGCCAATATGTGTTCGCTGGGTTCGGGGCTCCCCGTTCTCGGTACGCACGTCGAAGGAGAGAATACGGTTTCAGGGCCGTGCGCGCGAGCGCAACGATTTCCCTGAAAAAGGACACTACCGTATCTCGTGTCCGTTTCCCGCGAAACTAAACAAACTCGTTCTCCCCACCCTGTACAAGGATTCTTCTTATTGCGCGTTCAGGGTTAAACGACACGTCCGAAAAATGCCACAATGTTTCGGCTGTTGAAACCTGCAAAATTTCATCAAGGTGATTCTGGAGCACAGTTTCCAAACGTTCTCTAGCTCACTGCCCCCTATCGAAATTTTTTTTCATTCAACGCCCTCTTCGAGTGAACTGTCTATTATCAAAATTTCCAAGTTGTGAAATTTCAATCGTACAAAGTTAAATTGAAAATAAAGAACATAAAAGTAAGTAGAACACGTCCCCTCAGACTTCTTCAGCGTTCACTTTGGGAACCTATGTTCTAGAGCAGTAATGGGCAACTCTGCTCGGTTTTGTTGTTAGAAACTGTCCAGGTGAGCGTTTCCCAATCAGTGTGAACGTAGGTGACAACGCGTCGAAAGACTTTGTAGGGAGCGATAGGACGAATGCGTCCTGTCGATCCACGGGATGGAGAAGAGAGATCGGCAAGCGTGGCGGATATAATATAATGATTTTAGTAATTCCCGGGGGTCCCAGAGTCAGTACTCTGTCGGGCACTTGAAAGGATCGTCGAGGAGGATGATCCAGGGGAGCCGGCGGCTGGGTGCCCGACACATGTAGCCCCCCGGGTGGCGAGCACCGCAACTCTTGGACCCCCAACGGTGACACGAGCTACGGAACATTCTGCACTGTCATCGACCCAGTACGATGTCATCGCGCAAGCTCTATCCCTGCGTACACGCGTCTAGATGATTTTCAGGTCGAGCTTCGTTGCCTCGAATCGTAGGTTCCTTTAGACAAGTCGTACGACGTATACCTACATACATACATCGCTTCGATGGTTGGAACTGTCGTTCAGACGGTCGAAGCGACGTACCCCCGCGAGCAAACTCAACTTCCGCTAGGGGAAAAAGTGGCATAAGAGTAAGGGCATACTACCGCTTGGGAAATTTTAAATTTATGTCAAATTAACATTCGAGTTAACATTTATTTCGGTACCTGAAATAAATTTACGAAATGGTAGGAAACTTTTCTTCTACGCTAGTTTTTCCCCTAGCAGAAGTCAAGTTTGCTCGCGAGGGTACATGTACGATCAGTCGTACGACAAATCGTATCGTCTATGGACCGTTTAATTCATCCAGAAATCCGTGCAACATTGCGGTGTGCGGATCGAAATCGTTTGCTGCGATTCTGGATCATGTAATTCCACGTCTGCAACGAGATCCGGTGGAATATTCCGTGCAGAATGACGACGAAGTATCCCTCGACGACGATGAAGCACCTCGCCCACTCGGGATCCCGTGGACGAGTGCAACCATCGACGCTTACGGACTTGGTGCATCGCCAGGAAAATTGCACGCTCCTCCTTGATGACGTCGTAATTGCCAACAGGCCGTCGACCAATCCGCGTTTCTGCGTGGGAGCGAAGAAGAGAGAGCAAGCAGGCGGAACGAAGACCAGAGCAGAGCCAGAGAAAGGAGAGGAGAGATAGGTGGAGCGAGGAGTGACCCGATTGGTCCTACTCCCGGAGGATATCGTAGCCATGGAAACTCTTGTCGGCGAGGAGAAACACGGCTCCGAAATAAATATATATATATACATATGTATATTAATGTTTATTAACACTAGAATTACCCACGATAAAAGTGTATCTATTCCTATGCACTAGATAGACTTGACCAAATTTGGAAAATATACGAATTTATAAATGAACTGAATTCTTCAGTTTCGTATTGCAATAAAAGTTTTGTCAAAGGTCTTGGAAAATATGAACTGGTCATTTTGACTGCTTTGGTAGTTCTAGTGTTAATGCGATATATTGTTTGCTGACCTGCGAATCCTTTGGAAATATCAATTTTCAAAGATTTGCTTACGGAAACTAGAAAGAAACAGAACTTTCTGTACCGCATTTAAGACTCTATCTACTGTCATAGAGAATGAAAACCATACTGAAATTTATTAAATTTCTTACTATCCTGAATCTCAGTTATATTCAAATTTTTGAATAATTGTTAAGTGCAAAGCGATTTCGTCCCTATCCAGGGACAGATTCCTACTAAATATCGAAGAACCCTGACTTTACCAGTACAAGTATACATCCTTGATATTCCGTCGTTCTTTAGTATTTACTTTCGTGTGCATTTCACATAGTAATACCTTTAAACAACCAATATATATAAAATTAAATAACCGATCGAGGAGTAGTCGAAGGTTCCCCGATCGAAGCACACGGGTACCTCTTCACCGCTTCGTCTCCCTTTCTCCTCGGTCGTGGCATCATCGGGTGGGCACGACGATCGCGAAGCAACAAGTGTTACCAGCTCTTCAGCGTCGCCCCGCCCCCAACCAGCAGCAGCCGCGCCGTCACCGCCGTCGTCGGTGGAATCGGTGGAAACTGCCCCGAGGCGATGCAACCACCTCACTCGAGCGCCGATCGCGCCAGCAACTGGAAATCATATCCCCGTGTCCGGGCACCGGTTTCTCGGCTCGTCGTCATTCGCTCTCTACGTCAACGAAAACTGGCCGTTGACACGCGTGTTTCCGATCTTGAGATCTTTGCTGGATTCCAAAGTGATCCTCCTGTTTGCCATCGGAGTGACGCCAACACGAAATCCTCGACATTCAACGAATCAGAGACTCGTGAAACCCCTTCGCGAAAGACTCGAATTATCCGGTCGTGATCCAGTGGAGTTTCGTGAAAAGTATCGTTGTGCTTCGGTGACGGTGTATACAGTCAAAGGAGAATGAAGATTCGACGGTCTGAACATTGAACATTTCCGGTTAATCGTCGGGAGACAGACGGAAGCTTTTAGCGGGTGCACGTTGCTCGTTAGCTTGTAATCTGTCAGCTTAGACGCGCTGGATATCGACGAATATATTATATTCCAACGATAGAAGTTCCGAGAAAAGCAGCGACGGGATTCACGATCGCGCTGAGGCCGAGGGAATCGCGTGGAATCGTTGTTCCGCGTGAATCCGACCGGTCTCGTAACGACGGCCGGCCGCAAAGACAGCGCGGGCGAGAGTGTCCCTGATAGCCACGAGGAAAAGAGAGCAAAACCGCCGACGACTCGGGCGGTGCACAAAGAAGAACAGATTAGAACATTGCCTTGGCAGGGACGCGAGTCGATCGCGAGGAAAAACTCGCCCCTCGAAGATAGGGACCTTTGGGGATACCTCGTCGCTTATCCGACGGCTAGACATGAAGCAGGCAGACATCCCATCGTCTTGTGATCGCATCAGAAATTAATTAAAGAACCGTGTCAACACGAATTTGCCAGATCAAGTCGAGGGGAACGATCGAGAAAACACGGGAACAGAGAAGGCACGATCTCGTCGACAACCGCTGGTAACAGTTCGCGTAACGGAAGTGACGTTTGCCATGATAAAACGGTAATTACGGATTTATCGAACAGCCTGTGTGTTGCGTCGTACGATGAACATTCGCAGTCCACGATAAATCCGTGGATCCCGCTGTAGAAATAACCCACGCGAGTTTTATTCGCCGTTTTCTTCTTGCCGAGAAGAACCACGAGAAGATGAACAACGTCAAGGGAGAGGGGTCAGCTGCGATTTCGAGCAACGCTGGGAATGGTAACAACAATATTAATAACAACAACGGTAACGTGAACAACAATGGAAAAGCGTCTGTTGTTACGGGGGCCGTGGTCGGTGCCAATGGCGGCGAGAGAATCAGCGCGGCGGTCACCAAAGTTCTTCAGGGATACGACTGGACCCTGGTACCCGTCGCTACCAAGTGAGTTTCCCGTTTAATAATCTTCTTTAGAAACTGTAACTCTTCCTGATTAGAAAAGGGATACGCTCGGAATCGTTAAAGAATCTTTCAAGTTGTTATCAACCTGACTATTACTACACCAAAGAATTGACATCTTCGATTGTTTTTGGTAGCCACCCCAACATTCGACAATCTCCCTCCTTGTATTCGTGGAAACAGGTTGCAAGTCCTCGGATAACTCTACGAAAGACACTTTAATCGTCTCGTATTAGCAGGCATTAACGCGAGGGTGTACTCGCTAAGCGTTTTTGGGGGGGGGGGGAAAGAAAAAAAGAATCCGAAGAAAAAGCCGAGGAAACACGACCGGCAGAAGGGAGGGGGGGGGGGGGAGAGGAGCGTTGTCGTTGCAGCTTTAAAAATACGTAACGCTAACTTAATTATGACGCACTCGTTTCCTCGGCTTGGGAAACGTCTGCTGGAAAAATGTCCTCGGCTGCCAATTAACGGAAATTAGCTAATTAATGCTCGATCTTGTCAGTTTTCTCTCTCTCTCTCCGCGTCCCCCCTTCCTCGTTGGTTATCCGCCGCGGCTCGTGGGAAGTAGAAGAGATCGAAAAAGGATGAGCGATTGGAGGAACGCGGTTTCTTTTTTTCTTTTTCGCTCGCGTATCGAAGAAGGGGACGAATTAATGGCCATTTCGTTGCGCTATATGCATATATGTACATACCGATGATCGTTACGATTCGATAAAATCGAAACGACTCCGAGGAAAATGACGTAATCCCGTCTCGATGGCGCAGAAACTGATTTATATGGCTCGACCAAGATTCTCGAAATGAAACATCCCTGGTTGTCTCGTTATTAACATCACGAAATCCTCCGAATCTTTCGATGGATATCGCCGTGTTTAGGTTTACCGGGTGGGCTCACGGAAAATTTCCGCGGACGCGGTTCAAGTCTCTCTCCCCGGAATGGCGCGGGTGTATCGCTATGCGCGTCGTGTGCTTATCGCTAACCCTCAATTACACGGGGTTATCTCGGGGTGGGTAAAGGGTACGGTGTTTATTCCTGGCGATAGGGGGCCGATAAAATCGACTGGTTTTAATTCCCATGAGAACCCATGAGAATGCACCCCGAACTATTCCGCATTTCCTGTATTTGTCTAGGGTAATTCCAGGTATTGTACTTTTCTGTCAATGTCAAATGAAAGCATCCCCTTTTTATCTCGATTATCGAGGTCTTTTCTGATATTTGTCTCGGGTCGACGATAAAACTAGACTCTCCGAATGGCGATCAAATTCTCGTGTTTCTTACGAACACTTTGCACCCTACCAGATACAGGCAAACTCATTACCTAGATAAAAAGTTTCGAATAACTAATAAAAGATAAAAACTAAGTATTTTCCCATTAAAATTTTTATAATAAAACAATACTTCTTTATGAATGAACCGACATTTGTCGAACATTTATTTCATCTTTTGCTTTTCACCGTCTATTATTCGAATAAAATTCTGCCCAACTCTGCACCCCACACGTTTTATCAAGTGATTTTCTTTTCGTGTGGTAAGGGTGGCAAAAAATTAACCAAGGGATAGGGAGAGAAGCTACATACGTTGCAGTCGGTGCATCGTTCGAAGGTGCCACGCCTACGCTTCTTTCTACCAGTAGTACAACTCCCGCGACGGTTAAACGAGGTGCAAAGACTTTCAAGATTTTTGCGTATCCAGGTAAAACCCCGGCTCGGGTACCAACACGGGAGTCGCGACTCCCGTGAAAACCCTTGTTAGTGGGCCCGCGCTAATTACCAACCGGCTTCCTCCGGTTTACACACGGATTTAACGCCCCTCTTATTTCAAAGAGGCCGAAATATACACGAGCCTGTTTTCGAATCCTTGGCTGCCTTTTATTTTCTTATCCGCGGCGCCCCAGACCACAGGCTTTCTTCAAGAACGTGTTTCGAAATCATCGTAACATCGTCCACTACTTCGTACACACAGTTCTCGAGAATATTATTAAGAGATTGCCAATCGATCCAGCAAAAATCCTGAAAAATCATTGAATTTCTAACGAATATAATCGTTCCTTTCTCCACCAAGACGGGTATTGCGCACGTAATGGGATATTATTCCGATAGAGGGTATACCCTACGAGTTCCTAGTCTCTGGCTCGGTTCGAGGCCACAGGGTCCTCGAGAGCCCAGCGCTCGATTAAGTCCAGAAAGAAAACAGCACGAAGAAAAGGAGGCTCCGTACGGCAATCACGTCAGTCACGTCGATCCCATGTTCCCTTTCGGTGTCTGTACGGTTCCTGCTCGTCACCGGTTGGCAGCGCCGGTGTTATTTTAAGGCCGTTTTTAAGCGTGTGCCGCGCTAGGGCTCGCCCGGATGACCCCGGGGGTAGCCGTCGCGTCGCGGTTACAGAACCCGATACACACATACATATATATATATATACATATACGAGGATGCAACCGCCACACACGGCTCTATACGTGAGCAGACGACCCAGAGAGCCTCTGGTTATTTTCTTCTGCAAGTCACCCGACGGTGGTCAGGACTGTTTTCGAGAAATCCTGTCTGGGATTCTTGAACGTTTCTCGAACCTTAGGTCCCGAACGTGTAAGACGCGCCGAGCGGATCCCCATTTCTGGATTTCGACGATCGTCGAACGTTACTTAACCCCTTGCCTTACGATTTCTTCGAAGAATTACCTTATCGTCAGTCATTTTTCAGGAATAAAAGACATTCTGTATTTATTGCAAGTGTGCATTAACTCGCAAAGTTAAATATCGATACTAGTAAAATAGTATTTCTGTTCGATTTAAAGAAAAGGAATAACACTCAGGCTTTTTAAACCCATTTTGAATTCGTCAACACGAGTCTGACACGATGTTAGAGGCCAAGGGGTTAAAGAGTCCACAGACGATACGATTTTTCGTACAAGTAATTGTAGAACGTAAGTTTCTTCGACCAGTTTTTTCGTCCTTCTGGCCAGCTGTATTTTGTCGTATATATTTATAACTTCAAGTACGATAAATCGGATCGTCTGTGGGTTTAACCCTCAGAAACCACACCCCACGTCAGAATACGTAAACACCAGACACTAGTACGGATTGGGATTTTGATTTTTTAATGATCAAGAACTTGAAGGGAATAAAAGTTTACAGTGAAATTTCTACAGACATTCAATGGTAATTATTGGAAATGCTGGAGATAATTTTTTAACTAGAAAAATAGAATGTTTCCTCTGGTGTAAATTAGTGTGGTGTCTGAGGGTTAATTCGCGGTGTGCCTCACCTACGTTTAAAGAAAGCAATCGCTTCCAATGAAGATAATGTCCTCGAATTGCAGGGGTTCCGGCGACAAAAGAGCGGCCCACGTCAAGAGGCCCATGAACGCGTTCATGGTCTGGGCCCAAGCTGCCAGGCGGATACTGGCCGATCAGTATCCTCAGCTGCACAACGCCGAGCTCTCCAAGACCCTCGGGAAACTCTGGCGGTGAGTCGTTTTAACGCTCTATAAACGATACGATTTGTGGTAAAACAACTGATTGGAAAACCTAGGGTCTTTTCGACTGTCTGAACGACAGTTACAACGTTTGTGGTGCGGTTCTAGGGGAAAGGTGTCTAAAACGATTCCTTTAAGACGTAAATTATATAAAAAATACAAGTGCTCATTATTTAAATAAAAGTAAAGTAGTTTTTGTAAGTTAGTCTATCTATCTTATCATTGGCTTAAATAAAATTTAAGTAATTATACTTTTTATTCATATTTCCTTGAAGGCATACTTAAGGATCATTTTGTAATGTATGTGTAAAAAAACGATCCCCGGGGATCATTTTATACCGACTGATAGTAAATACAACGATCATTAAAAACCATTTCAGTATTCAGAGCGCGTCTGCCAGCTGATTGGTCGGGGTTTTGTCGTTAATATCTCGTTAACAAAGCGTTGGAGAACTTTGTCACAAAGGAAAAAGTTGTTTCAAATCACCCAAGAAATCACCCTTTTCAAAGACTAACACCTATTTTGGGATAACCTGTAGAATTGCTTTTTCTTTCTTCCTCGGGACGGAGGCGAAGAGACCAGGAGAGATCGGCTACCTTGGGGGCTGCTGGAGCGATCCACGCGACCACTTGTACGCGGTGTCTATTTTTAAACGGGAATTCGCGGGCAACCCTTTTTTTTTTCTTTCCCCCCGCGGTAGTTAAACGCCTCGACGTATACACATTCTTACCACGTGGGCGCCTCTGGCTGCACGTGGTACGACCCGTAACCCCGGTTGACAACTAACCCTGGCCCAGTCGATATACTCGTCCAATCGTTTTTTCGTTCGGTCCGCGAGCATGATGTTTTCTTTTTTCACGCGTTGAAACCGGAAGCAACACAGTCCTCGAACACTCAACGACGCGTGACGTGGTCTCGTTCGATCGATCGATGGATCTCCTGCTCGTGAAAGTCGTTTACCAGACATTGCGTCGAACGTTGAACCACTCGACGAGGATACATATTCCGTTTCCTGGTCGTGGCTAACGAGGTGCCCCAGTGGGTCCGCGGAACGAAGATCAGAGGACCCGCCGACAAGGACCCCCACGGTGAATCATTTTACAATACGCCTCGATCGCGATCTCTGATCAAATGCTCCCCCGGATATGGCCCCCCTTCGATCTTGTGGGCCCTTTAACGGTCAAAATAGAGCATCGCCGAGCAACGCTCCAGGCTGATATTGTTTCCCAGATCCGTAATGGAATTAACACCGACTTCGTTAACCGAATATTTGTTGGGCTCCAAACCATCTACAAATGGGCCTGACTCGTTTACTAAATATATTATACTGTATATTGTAATTTAACGGTCTGACAGTCTGTTTGACTTTGCTAGTAGGTCAGTCCCCACAGACCTTAAATTTCAGCTTCTAAAAAGTAATTAATTAGCAGGTTTCGAAATAGACCCGAACAGTAGTTAACACCAGGTACCGAAGCCAACGAACCTTCTTTCTCGGAGTGCATCGTCCTTTCCCACTTTCGTCCTATTCTGTCCTCGATCATACCTTCTGCCTTCTAATCGATCTTCCGAATTCATATCCTCTTTTTCCTAAACATTCTCTTACTAATTATAACCTTATTACATTCAGTATACGTTCTCCATCGTCCTTGATATTATTAATTTCATCCCGAACGAATCATTGGCCGTTGCACCAGTCATCTTCGGTAACGAAGACAATGCCAGTTTCTCTCGAGAATCGTCGAAGCATAAACACGCCAAAGTTTCGACTTTCACGAGCATCGGCGAAAGAATTACCTCCGTTGGGATTTCTTCGTTTTCACGATGATACAGAAACTCGGTGAATATCATCGAAACGATCAAATCCAGCGTGCTTCTTCCGCGTGTATTACCGAGAACGAGGAAGGGCGTCTCGTGGGTCGCTATCGGGATCGGGCCAGGTGGAGGCGTCGTGAATAAATCTTCTCCTTTTTCTTCCGGCTCGAAAGGTATCGCGTTCGGGATATTAGACGCGATGTTTGTCGACAAAACGAAAACAGATATATGTATATCCCCCCCCTCCCCTCCCCTCGGTTCATCCTTGGCGCGTGCTGGCAGCTGCCGGCCGGTTCCTGTCTCAGATAAAAAGCCCCCAAGGATCACAATAAACGCCTTGTCCACCGTCAGGTGAATTTTTCCGAACCTGCCCTCCCTCTCCCCTTTCTCCCCCGCCGTCGTCGTCCCACGAGACCACGCGCAAATAAGCGTCCATGACGAACAGGTAAAAGCATCTTATCTGACGGAAGCAACGCGTCTCCCTCGCCGCCTTTCCTCCTCGAGGCACTTCTGCGCCCCGATACGCTGCTCCCTGCGTAGTCCGTAAAGACTCCCCATACACGATACGATTTGTCGTACGACAAGTTGCACAAGAGAGTTCGACAGATTTTTGCTGTATTGTCTAAAGGTCGTACGACCGTTTTACAAATCTTGCAACTGTCGTTCTGACGGTCGAAGCGAGGCTGGGTTGTACGTTCAGTTGTAGGACAGATCGTACCGTTCGAAAGACTAGATAATTAACCTTTAAGTACCGAAGCATGGTCTCATAGATTACGCGTCTGGCTTGACCTTGGTTCTTGTGGTGACAATGTTACGCATTTTTTCGAATTAGTCGCTCGTGGGAGACGTGCAAGTGCGGTTGTGTCGACGTATGCATTTTTTGGGGAGTTATAGATCGTACAAATCTCCGGATTTAAACGGCACCGCGGTACTCAAAGGTTAAATAACATTCATACAGATTGTTTACTACAACGAAATTCACGCACGCGAAAAATTGGACACTAGATCGCCGATGAAATAAAAAAGAAGAAGCTTGTCAAAAATTCAGTTTTTAACACAGCTCTTATGGCAGTCTAACGATTTCTTACCGAAAGTATAATCTTTTCTTGAATGTTCACTAAATTCACTTTTAAGGGTTAAATGGTTTCGATAGCCACCAGATTTTATTTTCAATTTTCCGCTGGACGGTCGTAGAAACACCGCTGGAACCTATGAAATCCGATCTAACGTTGAAATAACAAGGTGTATATATTAGCAGGAAAGCAAAAGTGGGGGCAGACTATCTAAATTGGCCGGACTCGTGTGTTGCATCTGGCGAGGAAAAAGAAGAGAGGCTCTGCGCGACACGGTCCCGCTGTTATCGTCGGATCCCACCGGTCAAAAAAAACCTCGAGGCAAGGTCCATTGACCAGATGGGTGCCCTGGTCGTCTCTGTTGCTCCCATCGTTTCCCAGTGACAAAACATCATCTCGAGTCACGGGATATATCGCGAAGCTTGTCGCGGTTAGAAGCACTGTCGAGAGTCTTCGCGAGGACCCTTCGTGGAATTTAAATTCCCGTACTCTCGTGGTCTTTCGGACACTGTGTCGTCGACTAGCCACACCTAGAACGAGATACAGTAATGTCTCGATAAGTGCTACGTACTTGGAGCATTCACGGCAAGACTGAATGGTTTTCAGCCCCTCATAAATTTGTTTTTACTCTATTTTGATTGATTCTAAAAGTGGAACATCTCCAGCGGTGGGAATAACGCCGTTTCTAGTGTCGCATTAATCGAGGAATCACTGTATCGAGTTATAGATCGTGTATAGTCGCGTGCGTAGGTTTTCGTAATGTACGCCGGAAACGGCGCAAAACGATAACCAGCCAAGGCGGTGAATAAAGAGAAGAAGGAGCGCACCGTGTGGAATTATTGCTGGAATCGTCGAGATCTCGCCACAGCCAACACCGGAAAAGCTTATCGGGGGCCTCGAGGGGGGGCTTTACGAGACCAGTGGGAACATAAACACGAGGAATTAAAGACTAACACCAGAGTGGAAAGAGAGAAAGAGAGAACCGTGACGGAGTTGGAGAGCCGAGGTCCGCGTCTCTTGCTCGACCTCGGTACCACACGATCGAATATGTGGCGTGTGTGTGTGTATGCGTGAGCCACGTCCTTAAGACTCCTCGTAAGCCAGAAACACTAACCAGACCTCCCATTTCGACTCCTCGAGTGTATCACGCGGATGATAGAAACGCTCTCGTTCCAGCCTCTTCTGATGCCGGATACGCGCGGCCGCGAGGGAATCGCTAGCGCGTTCGCGCGTGTGAACCTTAATCGTCTGGTGAATCGTTACGAACCGACGACGGATTATCACGCGTTCCGTTCGGTATACCCTCGCGAGCAAACTCGACGTCCATTAGGGAAAAAGCGACGTAGGGATAAGACCTTCCACTATTTCCTGAAATTACTGAAATTCATGCGAAATTAACATTTGATTTAACATTTATTTCGGTACTTGAATTAAATTTACTTAGTGGGAGGAGGCTTTTACACTTACGCCACTTTTTCCCCTAATGGAAACCGAGTTTCCTCGCGAGGGTACACACGCCGGCCTACACGCGAGCTTTAACTCCTTGCCCTATCATTTGCTTGGCGGTTACACTCTCAAGAATTACTTTATCGTTAATAATTTCCCAAATACAAAAAGAATTCGATTCTTATGGCAAGTGTAACATTTCCTCTAAATCTTAAACGTTAGTACCAGCGAAACAGTATTTCACTTTGACTTAAAGAAAACGAGTTATATGAATGTTAAAGAAGAAGGTTAAATAGAAGATCAGCTGTGACAAATTTTCGGTCGATCGATCTATAGACTCGATCGTTTATCCACGATTCTGGTTCCAGACTGCTCTCGGACAACGAGAAGAAACCGTTCATCGAAGAGGCCGATCGTCTCCGAGTGATTCACAAAAGGGAGCATCCAGATTACAAGTACCAACCCCGTCGTCGAAAGCAGAACGGACCCGCTGGCAGAGACGGTTCGCCCTCCAGGAGTCAGAGCAACGTGACCTTTAACGTGTCCAGGTCTCTGAAGCAGGAGGACATGAGCCCCAGAGGGGCGCAGGGACCGAATTCACCCCAGAGCGGAGTCAGCTCGTCGCCGCCGACCACACCGAATCAGGGACTTTCGCCACCGACTCCGCCTACCACACCCCGTGGCCAGCATTACATAAATCAGGTAATAGAACGTCGAAGAAGTGTGTTTATGTTTGGGAACGAATGATTAAAGTATACGGAGAAGAACGAGAATCTTTGAAGTCCGAGTTTTCTCGAGAGAGCCCTTCGCACCTGACGGTTCTATTTCGGTTCCTTTCTTCTGGTGCAGTGTTTCCCAACGTGGGGCTTACGTCCCTTCGAGGGGCAATTTGAATATTTTCGGGGAGAATTAGCAGGTCATTAACAGTTTTTATCGGCGAGAATTTTACCTGTGTGACTTTCTTATTTGTAGCAGCATAGACGAGGTGTAGAAGTAGACATTTCATTCAATGTATTTAAATTTTAGTGTCACTGCCCACCGTAGATTTACTAAAATCACAGGCTTTTTAATGTACTATAATTTAGGTGAGCCACCAACTCCCATAAGATGAAAGGTTTAGTCTTATACCTCGTCGGTACTTGGAGGCATCGAAATCTTTGAGGCATTGAGGTGGGCTTGCCCCAAAAAATGTTGGGAAACACTGTCCTAGAGGCTCGGCTTGTATCGTTTCCTCCAATAGAACGTTTGTTTGCGCAGGGCAATCAGCCGCAACAAAACAGTTCCATGTACCATCAGGATCTAGCCATCAGTTCGTCGAGCGAGTCTCCGCATCAGCAACAATCCGGTGTCGATTACCGATACATCGAGGTCGGTGATGGTCTGCCGATCGAGGAGGGCCAACTGAACGGGTTGGGTTCTTTGGGTGGCGTTGGTTTAAATATTCCCCTGAACCTTCAGGAGTGCGAGGTCGAAAGCAACGAGCTGGATCAGTACCTACGGCCTCAGGTGCCACCGGTCCACATACCGCCGTCGACCACCACCGCGTCTCAATGGGCGTTCAACAGGTAAATCGTTTTTTCGATCTTCTCTTCAATTTGTTAATGTATTATAGCAACCAAGTTGATTTCTTTGCTCTAGATGGAAACGTATTCGAAACTAAAATGTATTTAAAATTGAACGGGTTAAACTGTAACTTGTTATTCGTATATACAGACTCCTTTCGATTATCGTCTTGCTCTACACGATTATTGTCCAGGTGTTATCTTTGGAACAATAATCGAGAGGAGTCTGTATTCTTTGTACATCTAGCTTTGCAGGTCTGTCGCTAGTGTAACATTTTTGTAATTCAATTGGCTTTCGTTACATAGAAAATAAATCATTATTATTATTATTCTCTAATTTTATCGCGGATATATACGAAGCGGGGAACGTTCGAATTTCTGTTCCAGATACGAGGACGAGGTCGAGAGGCCCAACAAAAGACACTGCTCGGAACAGACGATACCCGACGGTTCCTGGGAGGATCGATCCCAAGAGATAGTCATGTACCACGAGCTTCAACCCCCACTGCCCCCGATGCAGTACATTTCCTCGTCCCACAATGCCCATTACTCGCACGCGAGCGCGCCGATGAGCCATCCCCACGTGTCAACGTCCTACGCGCAATATCAACGCTACGTACCTGGCATCGAAACCTGGCCCCACTACATGTAAACAAGGTATACATCAACGGCGAGCTGCAATCAGCCCTGTCGTCGCAGAAATTTCGATAGATCGAGCAAAGACGATCAGATTTGTTTGAATCTTTTCTTAGATTAGTCGCGCAGGATCGAACAATCGTAATCGAACAAACACACGATTCTTGAATTGTTCGGGACGTGTAACCACGCGTCGTTCTGTCGACGCGTCCACGTCGTGGAAATAGCCAAATATTTGCGGAATAATTAGCGATTAATCACAACGTTAGGGATTTAGCGTTTAAGCGTACGTGTGATCGGAGAAGAAGTCTAGCGTCGTGATTCCAGCTGGCGATCGTCGCAGAAACTCGACGCGAATCGTTTCAATTTTCACGAATATTCAACTATCTTTTCTTATAAAGAAATCAAAATTCTCGTACAAAAAAAAAAAGAAAACGTTTAATAGAGTTTCTGCGTTTCGATTCGAACAACGTCGACACGAGAGAGAAAGAAAGGGGTGTCGACACGTGGTTCACGGGCACGGTATGTAGCAGAGGTATGTATGTATATACGATCTTACTCCATGACATCATTCCATGACAGCCGGCCATTCCAAAGCGCAGAATTTCAGGCTAAACAAACAGGCGGCGCTCGATACGGTGCTCCCACCGCGATCCAAATATAATAAATATATAAGGCACAATCTATAAACTGGCCCGGGTACAGAACGTGGCAGCGCGTCAGGGTTTGTTATCCGCCACGTTCTTCAAATAAACCAACGAAACTCGAGTCGGCCGTGAACGGGTCGCGAAACTCGCGCATATTGCGATTTAATCGAGATCTAGTACTTGGAAATCGTAGTTCGATTGCATACGATCGAGGGAGTCACGATTAAACACGGCCATAAAAAGGAATACATAAGTATAATCGTGGCGTTCCGTATCGAGATCGACGACGGATCGAGTGGACCGGATCACATATAAAGAACCATCGAAGCACCCACTAGGTCAGTAGTTAACGCAGATATTAACACTCTATTCGTCGCTACGCCGAGCACACACGTGCTTTTTGTACTTAGAATATTTATTTGTACCGCCTACATAAAATGACCGCTGAAGCGTAGAGATGATCTCGCGGACACGCGGCTGCGTTACGAACGCCAACTTATATTGATAAGTACGACGATGTATTCTAATTATTAGGAATAAAGAGAGCATTTTGAGACACGAACACTGTATTTTATCCTTGTGTTATTCCGTCCTGTTTCCGATTCCCTTGTACCACGAACGACCAAATTCGAGCGTGGGGGGGGGGGGGGAGGGAAGAAAGTGAGACAGAAGACGCGTCAAATATTTGAGCGGGGCTCTTTTGCTTGAGAACGGTGCGAGCAAAATAGGAGGACCGCGAATGGACCGTCCTAGGTTTCCGAGTGCAAACAGGCTTATCGAAATCCGTCCGACGAGGGACGTGGGAATATGTCGCGACATTTATATGCCACTTATCCGTGTCTCGAGATTAAAATCCCCCGTTTGGAGAGCAACGACGGCGGACTCTTTATTCGTTCGCGCGAGCGCGCGTGCACACACGTGTCGACTGTTATTCTTAATCGCGTACACATTTTTCAGCCCCGGTCAGAAATGCACACCGTTATCCAGATCTGGGTTTCATTACGCTGGAAAGTGGTTGTTGTTCGCGAGGAGATCGGAATGGAAATTATGCGTGCGAGTTCCGAACCGAAATAACCTGTGCCGTCATCGACGACGTGGCCATACTTTCATCGTCGAGCGACAGAGTGAATTTTTTTATGCCCTCCCGACTATAAAAAAAAACAAAAAAAGACGAAACGACGGGAAAGGTTGACGAGAGACAGGCTTTCCGTCGCGGGGACACGTATCGTTCCGCAGCTGCTTCGTTCTTTTTTTTCTTCTTTCTACACGCTTCGTTGTCAGTCAAGTCCCTCGATAAAGATTGCTCGACGAACGATTTCGTTAAAAGAGTTGAAATCGTGCCCTTCCCTCCTCCAGCCCCCCTATAGGGGGAAATCATCCTTCCTGTCGCCCTTTGACTCCGAAAATCACGTATTCCGTGAAACTGGATCGTTCTCTCTCTCTCTATTGACACCCCGAAGAAACAATCGCGGCTAGACCGTACAATAGATCCCATTGAAGAGGACTAGTTCTTTATCTGTCGGCTGGTTTTAGGATGTACATAGATATACCTTCTATCGTACTCGATTTCTGTGATCCTTCCGCGAACCAGCGAACGAAAATTTCGAAATCGCCTGACTGGCCGGGACCGGATACGAATTCACGGGACAAAGAAGTATATTCAGTTATAAATTATCGCGAGCCTCGTGATATAATTAATTTCCTTTTCCCCTCGTGTCCCTCGCGTAGCTCCGATGGTCGGTGTTCTCCTTTTCTCTCTTTCTTGAGATTAATCTTGGGATCCATAAATAATCCTGGAACGAACGATTCTCGCGAATACAGGAAGCGATCGTTCTCCCCCTTCGTTCTCCCTTCAATATGTTTCGGAAAACGTTCGAAAAATCGGAGAGGAACGCATTTTTCTGTTGTCCTCTCCTAGATTTCTGTGTACGGTGTAAATGTTTGCCCGAAACGGAAGGGGGGATGGCAGAGATAGGATCGATAAATTTCGACAGTTCGGGCATTCAGCGTATAGACGCCTCGCGCCACGGGGCACAAAGAGTTGTAAACTCTCTTACAGCTGTCACTGATTGTAATATGTATTATCGCGATAGAGGCTTGTTATATTTTCCTTGCTATCCATTCATCGGAATCCCGACGCGAGCCACGTGAGAGAGAGAGAGAGAACTCGCGATACGATACGCTTTGTGTACGCCCTAATCTCTGCAGAGACACAACCCCTACCCACGGTGATCTCTCGGTTGCTAACACGAAATTGTCTCCCTTCGTTGTTGGGGTGACAGTCTCTATTCTATTTCTAATACAAATTTTGAATCTAATGGAAAATTCAAAATCAACTCCCTTCAAGATACTGCTTCTGACATTACAGTTTTATATAAAATTATTAACAGCTTAGTAGATTGTCCTATCTTCTTAAATCAAATATAGCTTCTACGTACCAGGCATTCCAATCTATTCACAGCCAGAATATGCAATGTAGCCAAAACATTTAGCAATCAAACTGAATTTTTCTTGGAAAACTTCCATCTATCGGATAATACGAGAGTAACTTGTATATTTAAAACTACTATAAATAGTGTCAGCCGATGCTTTTGTCAGACTTTTGTATAAAATGTGCTTTTCCGGTTAGGGTAATAAATTAAATTTTTGATGCGTCTTGTTTGGTTTACCAGCGCAAATCGTAACGAATCTACTCGACGTTGATCGAATCGTCGTTCAACTGGAGAGAGGATCGAACGATACCCTAAACCGAGCGAAAGATAACACGAAGCCATCGGGGCCCGTTATCGCACGTTCACGTAATCGTAACCCTAATTAGCGAAGTAATTAGCACATTTAAAAGTTCCTCTAACTGGTTCCCCGAGACGGATCGTTCGCGATTATCTCTCGAAGTTTTATTAACCCTTTCGCTGGTAAAGACGTAAATATACGCCCTCGCATGTCGATCACTAATTACGAGAGCCTTATATACAGGCGACTAATAAATTTCATTTTAGTATAAAACATTTATTGTTTCGCTAGATTCATACAGTGTGTCCCTTTAAAACAAATCAAGTTGAATCGTCAGTCCTCAATATTTGATAAACGAGTCGCAGCTAAAGTTACATTAAATAAATTAGATCTTCCAATAAAGGAAAGACGGATAGCCTCAGATGGTGGGTATAATAAAAAAGAAAAATAGTTTCTGTGTTTCATTTAAGTGTTCGAGGCTGTTCACTGTTTCCCTATATACCATAAAAAAAAGAATAAAGTAAACCTTGAACTTGAATCTTCCCGAATTCATAAGTGTCCAGATTTGGTTACCCTTCGATTGGTCTCCGCTCCGTTCGATCGCGAGATCGAAGAGAATCAACGCGGCCCCTACGTGGGGCGGTGGAAATCTAATCGAACGGTACACACCGCGGAGATGGCCACGTGTGAATTCCATCGAGTCTGCATACCCATAGACCGACGATCAGGACCCGTCGAGGAACCCCCATAGCAAGTCAAACACGAGTAGCTGGTTATCGTCCCGTTACCATGGTAATTACGCGACCGATATCGATAAAACCCGCGTGCCTGCGCCTAGCCGGAGCATCGCGTATCGATAAACTATCGTCGTTCGGGGATAGGTAGATCCACGGCGAAAAAACGAGGCTCTTAATCGATTTTAACACGCTACGCCTTTTCTACCGCGTTTCTCGTGGTTATCTTCTACAGCTATTTTTAGATATTCGCGTGCAGATACGGGAATCTGTTCGGATTAACCCTTAAACGTGAACCGTCGATACATCGAAACAACATTGGAATCTTTGTGACATCTATTGCGATTCTAATAAAAAGTAGCTAAAAGGCGGATGCTTTAAAGGACTCGCATGTAGGAATCGGACGGTTACAAGATTTATTATTCACTTCAAGTATTATTAATTTATATGTTGTTTGAATGATATTCTTTACCAGATATTGTTACATAGATCAAATCGTGAGTCAATGGGAAGATACAAAGTTGTCAGTGAGAAATTACAGGGTTAATTTTTATTTAAAAGGGTGAGCGTATTTATAGATTCTGGCCATCTACAAGTGGTGCAGAATACACGGGTAAAATAGTATTTGTTAATGTCAACGATGAAAGCAGTAGTACTCATCGGAAAATGTAAGAAGTGCCTACTAAGGATTTGACTTAATTTGATTATTAACAATGTGTTAAACAGGGAATTGATCAATGATCTAATATCTACACGAACTGAGGAATTTCTTAAGTAGTGCAGGAGTACGAATGATCGGACAGGACTAGGGGTTTCTCAATCGATTGCAACAGCGTTTATATACCACCGATCTCTTTTCTCCAATATTTTTTCTTTATCGACATCTTACATCTACGAGAACATTG